CAGTTTTTGGAAACAGGTAGATTTTTCCGGCAGAGCCCGCATCACAAAATTTTGATTTCCAGTGTCGTGATTTTTTCCCTGACCTAAAAAACAAGGAAGAGGTCAAAAAAAAAATCCTTTTAATGGTCATATATTAAAAGTAAAAAAATTAAAATGTGTTTTATAAACTTAATATCAAGTATATATTTAATTTCATTATTTTTATTTTTAAATAAAAAGAGCTTATATAATTTACACAATTATCATTTATCTAACTACAATAACTTAAAATACTTCGTAAATAACTGTTAAATAATTAATTGTAATATATTACATGCATCAAAATCATATCACTTAAGAGAATTTTTTTCTTCACAATTTAATAGGTTATCATCTTTTCAAATTTTAATTTAATTTAAAATTTTATAAAAAATGTTATTTAATTTTTTTTTATTAACAAGGATAAAATACCATTTAACTTTCATTAATTGAAAATAAAATGTTATTTTTAATTTCATCATCATTTTATTATTGCAAAATCGATTTTCATGGTCACTGAGGTCAATGACCTTAAGTGAATTGACCTGCATGAGCGTTGCATGGTTCGATAGGTGAGGTCATATAAACACTTTTTTCATTATTACATGTTTTTGCGTATCTCTAACAGAAACAGAGTTATCGCTGTTTGAAAATTAATTTCGTTTGCGGTTCCGTTCTTAGCATTCTCACACACCGCGTACCGCGCCCAAAGTTGATGATAGAGATCTGAGAGTTTCACAACTTAATCTCCATTACTTGAAGGGAACATCCCTAAAATCTCCATTACTTGAAGGGAACATCCCTAAATTTTTATCAAAATATTTTCAAAATAGCGGATTTTACGGGACATTTTGAAAAAACCAAAAACTTCAATTATCTCGGCTTCTCTTGGTCGGAGAACCAACATCCGGGTATGGTTGAACTCGTCTCATTAAATTCTACAACTTTGCTGTTGATTGCAAAATCATAGGTCAAAGGTCAAGGTCACTTCCGATGACCTTGTTTCATTCAAACTGGAATTTGAGCATCAAATGCAAACATTTTTGAAATTCTGAGATGGCCATTCAATTCTTCGTGAAATTTTACATACAATGTGTGAAAATGGCGAAGTGGTTTTTTCTCTAATTTATATTAAAATAAAAAGATTAAAAAACGTGGTTTTTTGGTGCTCGGATCAGCGATTTTTAAGAAAATCGAAAATAGCTCGTTTTCTGTGCGTCTGAGGCAAAAAATGATTATGTTCAAAATTGATCCCCATTAAAAGTTCTATCTAAATATGCAAAGGTCATTGACCTTTTGTAAACTTGGGTCAAAGGTCACCTTGACCCTTGTCCTTCAGTGAAAAGACCCTAATGTGTGATACATGGTTGGAAAGGTTTTATCACTAAAATAACAATGGTCACCATATTTTTGTCTCTGGCTTTATTTTCCACCAATGTAAGCTGATTATTTAATATATAATGAAAGAAAATGCGCTTTTTTCACAATAAAACCATCATAACTAGGTCGAAAATGAAGCCGGAGACAAAAATATGGTGACCATTGGTATCCTAGTGATAAGACTTTTCCAACCATGTATCACACATTAGGGTCTTTTCACTGAAGGATAAGGGTCAAGGTGACCTTTGACCCAAGTTTTCAAAAGGTCAATGACCTTTACATATTTAGATAGAACTTTTAATGGGGATCAATTTTGATCATAATCATTTTTTGCCTCAGACGCACAGAAAACGAGTTATTAAAGTTTTTCTTAAAAATCGCTGATCCGAGCACCAAAAAACCACGTTTTTTATCCTTTTTTTTAAATATAAATTTAAAGAGAAAAAACTACTTCGCCATTTTCACACATTGTATGTAAAATTTCACGAAGAATCGAATGGCTATCTCAGAATTTCAAAAATGTTTGCATTTAATGCTCAAATTCCAGTTTGAATGACACAAGGTCATCGGAAGTGACCTTGACCTTTTACCTAGGATTTTGCTTTCAACGGCAAAGTTGTAGAAAGTGAAAAGAGGAATTCAGCCATACCCGGATTTTTGTTGTGCGATCACGGAAAGCCGAGATACAGCCGTTTGAAATTTTCAAAAACCCAATTTTGAACGTCCCGTAGAACCCGTAAATTTATAGATATTGGGGTAAGACTGGGTAAAACTATATATTTTTGAAAATCTCCTTGCATGGTCTTTCAGGTCCTAAAATTTTGTAAAGATCGCACGACCCTTGCCAACGCATTGTACCTTTCACGAATTTTCGCCGAGCTGTGATATTGATTGAATGCAGAATGTCAAAATTCACTTTTTTTGTCATTACACATTTTGTCGTTTCTGTAACAGAAATAGAGTTATCGCTGGTTGAAAATTAATTTCTATTGCGGGAAACCAATTATTCAGTTTTTATAATATTCAGTTAAAAAGGTAACTTTTCATCAACAATCACACCCAAATCATTCCTGGATCCACCCAAATACAAAATTATTATTAGTGACCTCCGAGGATAGAAACTTCAGAAATTATATTTAATTTATTTTAATTGAAATAGATATCAAATTTTTAAAATTTTAAATAACAATAAAAAAGTATGTTTTAATTTTATTTAAAAGGTAATAAAAAAATTACACTGAAAATTAGTAAATTTAAAATTCAATGTTATTTCGTCTTCAATTATTTGAAATTTTTAATTAATTTTAAATTTTTTTGTAATTGAAATTAAAATTGATGATATTTTAATAAATTATTAAATAGTATATAGTACTTTTCAATTGTTTTCAATATATAAAATACAAGTTATAAAATAATATATTCTATTTTAACAAATAATTAAAATTGGTGTGTGTGTAATTTAAAAAAATTATTCTAATATGAATTAAAAAAATTATATATGATAATTATGACCATGCATTTCGACTATTTCTAGCCAACTTTTTTGTCAAATTGTTTTCCCACACTTCACCCTTAGAACCCTGGCTCACCCTTTGAGGAGTTAATGTTTCTGGCTATCAAATCGAAATGTATATGTCTCCCTTTTAAATAGAATATTTGAGTCCATGGCGATTATAATCAATTAATTTTAATTTCCAAAGTAAAATTTGGTCGTTTCTGCATCTGATATTTTCCATTCGACGATAAAAAAAAATTATTAACAATAATAATAAGGCACGGAATGTTAATTCTCCAGGGGCGAAAATTCACCACGCCGCCTCTGTTACGTGTTCAAGTATTATGATTTTCATGGAATATATATTAGTAACAAAATTTTTGTAGGTCTCCTCCCGTCTGAAGCGTGTCATACCGTAGAATTTATACAATTCATGGACAACTTGGTCGACTCGTTTAATGGAAGCTCGTATTCGCATGCAAAACCTTTGAAAGGCCGGTTAGTATCATCATGATTTTCTAGACGAATTTGATTGAATTTGTCTTTGACAACTGAGCTCATGCATTTGGCTATTGATCGGAGCCAAGTTAAATAATGTCTTGGAATTATTATTATTAAGCCAGAGAGGTTTAAATAATAGGTATCATAATTTTCAATTTTTTAGGCTGCATGAATCCTCTGCCCACTGGGATTTTTGGAATAAAGCTGAATTATTTGTGGGGAAATGGAAGTTCAGAAAAAAAGATGGGACAACAGTCTGGACGCCATCCATACACTCTCTTGTTTGGCTGATTCGATCAATGAAACTATTTTTTCCGATGATGCGTGCAAGAGGGTTTGAGTTTCTCTTAACAAGAAGAATTCAGCAGGACCCTCTAGAGAATTTCAACGGGGAAATACGAGAGCAATGTGGTAGCGGACATTCCCCCACAGTTTTGACTTTCTGCGCTTGCTTGGTTGGAGCTTTTTTTAACCTTTTAATGTATCTAAAACTCCACAATGAAAAGAAAAATTGTGAGGACGATGGATTAAGCTGCCGTGAGCTGGCACCTTATATTTTTGATGCATTTTTTAGAAAGGTACATTTAAAAAATTAAGAATGAAAAAGTAATGAAATTCTTTCCATAAGGTACAACAAAACCCCACCTTGCCTTTGGAGCCTGAACCATGCGAAGACAGTACATCTGATGAGGAGTCTCAAGATGCGGACGATGAACTCATTGACTTGCAGAGCCAAAGTGATTCGTATTTTGGAGGAGTCGCATTGAAAAAGGTGGACAATGTTTTGCATTGTGCTATGTGCATTGAATCTGCGACATCCAGTGAAACACTGCCCAGCCAGGTCTATACCATGTTTAGAGAGTATCGCGATAATCAGTCCAAACTGCTGTACGTTAGCGACAATTTCGCAAACTTTGTTTGTTCAAAACTGAGGAGAATTAAGTCAGAGCTCCATACTAAACAGAGTATGCCAAAAGATGTATTCAGACATATATATGACAAGGTTTTGAATGATGCTTCATGTGAGTTTGGTTGTTCACGTCATTCTGAACAATTTCTTCAAATATTATTTCAATATATTTTTAAATGTGCAGTGCATTGGTACGCCAAAGAAACTTTGAGGAGTAAAAAGAAGTATTCTAAATATTACATTATTTACTTTTAATTTTTTCAAACGGATACCTGTCTGGAATTAAGAGAATATTTTTAATCATTATTATTTCTATTAAAAAACACTTGCTATGCGGCCATACATACGAAATGTAACCCGTTAATTTATTTTTCCGCGTATGACTGCCAATAAATAATATTTGTTTTGTGCGTTGACCGCTGGAGCAAGACCTTGTTGAGCAAGACCACACATTATTTTTATTGTTGATTTTTACCGCCGCAAAAGTACAATCCACAAGCACGCCTTGATTCTGATTGGATGAGAGCTCGATCGCTGCGCCTCTAGCGGATAAAGTATTGTCAAAGAAATTTAACATTGAGTGTCCCATCTCTATTTACATTGTCTCTGGCGTCCGCGATCGCCCGCTCAACTACAAGAAAGTAGTTCGCATATCGGGCGCGTATCCTTGCGCAGAAGCTCCATCCTCCGCCTCAAAGAATAGCGCTGCGGACTCGTGAGCTGGGGCTGGGTGGATCAATCAACAGCGTTGCCGCTTTTACATTGCACATACCTGCTTTCCTTGATGAATCACGCAACTGCTAGCGCCACATATCGGAAAGAAAACAATTTTCGAACTTGAAACCAGTCTTCGTCACACAAAACCAGCCAAGTTGACGACAGGCTTATTTTATTTCACTGAAATATACCGCAAAAATTGGTTAGATTGACGAACGTTCTACATTTTTTCCTCCTTTCCCACGTCACGTTCATCATCTTTTTCATTGCAATCCAATAGCTTTGCCACGAAATTTAATCTTTGTTTGTTTTCCGCAGAATTTGTTTCCTCAATGGCCTATCAACCAAAGTACTCGTCGTTTGACAAGGACGTCGATGATGACGCTTTTTTGCGGCACTCGAAGAGTGGCTCATCGGGCTACATGTTCCAGTCGGATGACTTGTCCAGAGAGCAGCAGGAATTGGAGGAAAAGCGGATGCAGCTGCTCGAAAAACGCAGGCAGATCGAGGAACGGACCATTGAGTCCTCCAACAGGTCCATCGGACTTTTGAGGGATTCTGAACAAATAGGCGTTGCGACTGCCGAGGTTACTGCGTTGTTTAAATTCTTGATCAAATATGTTTCAACGATGAAAATATTCCAGGAATTAGTGCGGCAGCGAGAGCAGCTGGAAAGAACCGAGTCAAGATTGGACGAGATAAACAATACTTTACGCTTCAGTCAGAAACATATCAGTAGCATCAAGGTGACCACTCTATATTAATTATTCCTGCAAGTTGTAATTTAAATTTTTAGAGCGTTTTTGGCAGTCTTAAAAATTACATTAGTGGTCGAGCCAACAGCGCAAATGCTAATCCATCCACTTCGAGCCAAAGACCAACAGAGGTCTCTCAGGAAACCTCGGCCCTGGCCAGTCGCCTGCAAGAAATGAAGCCTGAAAGTCCAAATGATGATCATCCTGGTAAAATACCTTAATTATTTCCAAGCAAAATTTAATTGTTATTTTCAGCTCTTCGAATCCGAGGGTTAGCAGAGGATAGACCGTATGCTGGCTCTGCTGCTTATCAAGATGCCAACAGGGTCCTTGACAACAATTTAGGTGCAAATATTATAAGATTTTCAGTTTTTGAGAAAAATATAGAATTAAATTTTTTCAGATGAGATGTGCAGCTCTCTATCTCGTCTTAAAGGACTTGCTCACGGTCTGAATGATGAGATTCTCAGTCAAAATGAGATGGTTGATCGAATCACTACAAAAACAGAGAAGGCTGACACTACTATTGATCATCAAAACCGTGATATGCGCCGCTTGCTGAAGAAATGAATGATGTTATTTTACTTCATTTGCCGTAAATTCCATTCCGAAATAGATTAGTCGGCAAGTTTATTATAATTTCTGCTATAATCTGCCTTATTTAATACTGATGTATTACAATTACGCCCACTCTTGTGTGAAGTTAATGCTTAATTTTTTGCTTAATTTGCAGCCCTAAAAGTCGTGCAGTGCTATGAAATGCCAAGAGCAGTTATATTAATTTCAGATTTTATTAAAATTTATGCAAAAGTTATATAAGAATTTTGAAAATATGGGATATTTTAATACATCACGTTTCAATCTTTCACAGCTTGATGCTCTGTTTGTTTAAATGCAATACTCTGTTATTTTATTATGCTGCTATAGCAATATTATATGTATGATTAGTGATTATTTTTGTGATCTTTCAAGAAACGTGCTAATTGTAATTGTATCATGACAAAATATAATGTGTCACCTCAAAACCATGTCATCTCGTTGGAGTCGTCTTATTTGGGACCATTGTGATTATTTTTGTCAAAAGGTAAAACAGAAATAAAAATCTCATTTAATTTATATTTCAAAATTACTTTTCACCTTTTATTCAAAATCAACAATAGAGTTACACAGTGGAATGTGAAGTAAAAACAATAGAGAAGAACAACAAGTAATGTAAAAACCAATATTCAAAACAAAAAAGATTAACAGATCTGACTACAATAAAGACAAGATTTGTAAATAAGTGGAATTAGTAGTGAGTCAGGAATGAGAGCAGTGAAAACATTTATACACAAACAAACTAATTATAAGATACATTGGTGATGAAATTGTCAGTTTCATTTCTTAGTAGTTCTTATACATTCAGTATGCTCACTATTCTTCAAAGTGCAAAATTTCAAGTCTTATCAATTGGCAAAATTATAAATTCGTGGATGATTGAAATCATATTTATGTAAACTGTTAATTAAAAAAGAAAAAACAAATGCCCGCAACATGGAATGAACAAATTAATCAAATTGATTGTTTGATTGCTTTGACGAATGTAGTGCGATTTCTGTTAGGTCTCGTCAAAACTAGGCCAGTTTATCTCAAATCTGTGGTTGCGCAAAATGTAACTAATAGCAAATTTTGTACTGGCAAAATGCACCAACAATTAAAATTAACAGAAATTTTAACTCAATAATACTCTAAAAACCACAGACTTGTTTAACGGCGACAAGTTACATCATTTTACTTACATCGCTTACAGTTACATAGGTGATAAGTTCGAACTTACACTGGTGGACTTCAAATCCAGAACTTGTTGAACAGTTCCATGAACGAGTCGTAAATCATGAAGGTGATTGCCACGTCAAGACACACACGACTCAGACGAGGCACTGTTCCTTTGTAGAACCTGATGAATTTAAGTTGAAAAATTACGACTAGCAACAAAAAGCGCTAAAAAAAACTGAACTTCCAACTAAGTTAAAAAATTTATTTTAAAAAAGATAACTTTTTTTTATCAAATTTCAGAAAACATATATTTCATTATTAAGTTACTGAAAAACAAAATTATGCTTACGCTTTAGGTCCCTCGTGTTTCCAAATCTGCAGGGCGCAGTCGGCAGTATTTTTGTATTTATGTGCTTCAAGACCCTATAACATGAAGTTTTTTTTTTTAATCTAGAATTTTTGAAACAAAATTAGAATCCTAACCTGCATCCTGGTCTTAACAACATCGATGGGTGTATTGCCGAAAACGGAGGCAGCTCCAGCCACGGCACCAAAAGCGCCCACGACAAGTTTGGGAACTGGTGCATTTGGGTCTCCCTTCCTATACCAGTCTTTGCAAGTTTCCATCACGTAAAATCGGATGGCTTGGTTGCTACCCTGCTTTATGATGGTTGCAGTCACTCCTTGGTAGACACCTTTTATGCCTACAATTTGAATAGGAAAATTTTGCAACTGAACATTCCATAAAAAAAACAGCAAAAAAAAATCCCAGTTTCCCAATGGCCTTTAAAAATATTCCACGCTATTTGGCATCAATTCAACAATTTGCAATACAATCTCGTTTCAAAACATGTTTTCTTCAGCAAAAATAAATTTTTATCTATATAGTGAACCCGAGCGAACCTTGTTCTTTTACGATGGTGGAAACACCGTGGAAGAATCCTCGAAACCGAGGGTTTGCCGAGCGCTGGTCGTTGATGAACTTGACTTTAACGGTCTCCATTGGAGTGACAGCAAAAATTGCTTCGCACACGCCGGCACCAAGACCACACAACAGCCGACTTCCTGGGCTTAAGTTTCCCTTGGAGTCAACGCTGCGCTTTTTGAACTCCTCGAAAGCACCAAATCTGGAGAGAAAAGAGCACAAAGTATTTAAAACTTGCTTTAAAAAAAAAATGTTTATCGAATTGAAAGCATAGATAAGTTTGGATTGTCTAATTCTTATTATGCAGTTGATAAAAAAAATCCAGTTTACCTGACGGCAGACTTTGGGATGGAACCGTAAAGCAGGACACTGAGTCCGCGGTAGAGTCCGAAAAATCCTCTTTGTTTGACTGTTTTCTTGACGCAATCCATAATGCCATCGTACTGCTTTGCGCCGCCCTTTCCACTTTTTTCGTCTAATTGCAACTGTGTTTTAACATACTCTGTTGGGAAAGTTATGCAGATCTCAATGCCGCCAGTTATGCCTCCTATATTTAAAAATAAAGAAATTAATTTTATAAGAATTGTTCAAAGTTTTTCGTCTGAATTGCAAATTTGATTATTTTTTGTTATTTTTTATTGCACCGGCCGCCAATTAATTTTTATCTTGATTGCTTCACAGACAAAAATATTTATTCCTCCATGACAAAACAATTCACGAGCGTTCAGTTTGTTCAGAAGTTTCAAGACGTGTATTTTTTATTTTAGGCCAAGATTTAATTTTATTCTCTGCAAAATCCATTTTGTAAGGCAGGCAACCCGCACAACCCTTGTGCGCAGCAAAAAGCCTACGCAAATCGCAGGGGCTGACAAACAATAAATAATATATGAATGTAAAAACATTTCATTACATTTTTAGGATAATTACGTTGATTCAAAATACAAAATTTTCATTTTTTTACAGAGGTTCAAATAGATTAAAAAAAAAATACATAATAATACTGCGGCAACATGAGGAGCGTTGTGAAAGAAATTTTAATTTAAAAATTATTGTTTTTTTTTCTTCTACGCAGTGAGAGGGTAGAGAATGCCCAGTTTTGAAACTTGAAATTGTGAAGCCTCTTTACAATTTTTAAATTTACGGTTCCAAAATTCTTTTAGTTCGATTAATTTTCTTTTAATTTATAAAACTATAGAGATTAAAAATAAAATATTTTCTATAATCATCATAATAAAATAGGCACGTGAGCGCCCTACTTTTCTCATCGCCTTTCAATCGAGTGACATTCCTCTAGGCTATAATATCAACAACAAGTTTGAAAAAACTTTCCAAGCTCCCATGCACTGCTGTTTCAAAAGTGAGAGTAAAATCCCTTCAGTGAAATAAATTCCCTTTTGGTGACAAAAATTATACATACAAAATACCCACCAGAAAAAATAATTTATAGCCGTAAAAATCATGACTATGTTTATTAGAAAATTTTCTGACTTTTATTTTCTTCAAAAAAAGAGATCGGAAGATCATATTATAATTATTATTTTTTCCACGCTCGTTGTAGTTGAGAGAGTCCGTTTGCACAGTGATAGGCGATTACACAGCGCAATTAAAAAGCCGGCAGAGAAAAACAGCAAGACCTTGGCCTGCAACCCTTTCAGTCTCGCGATATTTCATTTAACTTTTTTCCAGTGAAAAATGCAGAAAGGTGATTTTCACCTGCGATGATGCCTTTAAGGCCCTGGCCTCCTCCAGCGGCCGCGGCCGCCCCCTGTTCGTTCATCCATGGCCTGGCAAACGGATTCCTCCTCGTGGAGCCGGACAAGTTCATCTCGGGATCTGTCCTTTGTCCTGTTTAGCTTGTCATGCGATTAAACTGCCGCCCGAGATGAACGCAGCAGCAATTTTTTTAATTTTGCAATGCAAGTCACTCCCCTTCTTTTCTCCTCCAGCTGGATTTTCAGTTTTCAGTGCTGCCAACTTGAACCACGTTTGTTATTGTTTTCATTCCAGTTTGATAAATTCTTCAGTCTGAATCCGGTCATAAAAGTTTTTACAAAGAATTTTTTTAAGAAAATACATACATCAGTTCGAATAATGGCGGATTGCTGAAACAAACACTTTTTGTTTAAGTTTTTAATTTGGCAGCACAATAAAGTAAGGTTGATTTATGTTGTACATTAATAAAAATTGAACAGTAATTAATTTCTTGATAATTTTCATAATTTTAATAAAAATAATTTATTCATTCAACAGCAGAACAGAAAAAATTTCAAAGTTTACTGAGACGTCCTAATGGCAGAAAGAGGAGCTTTTTTGACCTCAACAACCATCAGCCGACCGTCAATATTTGAGGTTTTGGCCCAAGAAAATTTGGCAAGCACAATTCATCCTGCTTTGAAGAGGATAGCCAATGTAATTTGTACAGCAAAAAATATTTTGCACATACTTGATTTTTTTTCTTCTCTAGTTTTTAGCAACTTCCAATCCAAACGCATATGGCTGGATACTCAAATGGTTTGACGAAGTTTACCTTGTTTTTAATTACTGCGTTCAGACACACTACTTAAGAAATTATGGTGATTTCTATTCAAATAATGCTTATTTATTACTTAAATAAATTCATTCCGTGTTCCTCCAGGAGCTTCCTTTGCTGAAACGTTTTATGGCTTAAAACGATCACCACTCAGCAAACCAACTGCAGCTTTTCTTTCGACTCGGCAAAAAAGTTTGTCTCTTATAGTGATTGTTCTTTTGGACTATGCCAAGAACAAATTGTCCATTGTTATCGAAGAGTGGAGGAACAACACAGACCCACATCCTATGAAGGTATAGGAAAAATAATTTTATTATTTTTTGCTTATATTTATTTTATTGCAGGCTTTATTTTTAAAACATTGGAGCCAGCTGCAATTGATCTGGAGAGTTGTCTCTTTTGCCAATTTGCTTTCATATATGAATGGAAAAACAGATTACCACACACCATTGTTACGATTTGCCGGAGTTGGTTTGCAAAACGCCGACGACGAAATTCCTCCTCGAGACGACAGCACATTGAGGTAATTATTCCAATTCATTTTTTTAGTAAAGTCTAGCAAGAGCAGATTTCTGTAGAATTAAAGAAAAAAATTATTAAAAATTATTTTCCATCAACAGCTTGTGGAAGAGAGGTGTTGCCCTAATCGGACCAGGCCTGGCAAGGTGCCTTGAAATCAGCGCCTTCACATTGCAATTTCTGCAGTGGTGGCACGGAGACGGAGGTCCTCGACCTCAGCTTTCGGCTCTTCCAGTGCCTTCTGCCCCTTCTGTTTGCTACAACATTTTACTTCTGAATTAGTTGTTTCTGATAATTTAATTTATAGTTGCTGCCCGGAGGACGAGAATATTCAGGGCTGTGTCCCCTTTGCTTAAAGCCATGGAACATCGAAACTGTTTTGCCAGTGTCTGGGTAAAAAGCTTTCGCACACAGCTGACAATTTACTATAAGAGAATTCATTTTTAGGTTTGTTTTCTGCTACAAGTGCATTTTTCAGCACTTAAAGGAGACTGGAAAATGCCCAGTAACAAATTACCCTGCGTCTACAGACGAGTTACTCAGAGTATATTCGACGAGAAGTCATTCAGGTTGAATAATTATTTAGGTGGAAAGTTTTAGCCGGGCCTTTCAATTGTGATGTTTTTGTTCACTTTGCTCTCTGAGCCTTAATAATTATGTTTTTTATTTAAATAAAAGTAAGCAAATTTTACATAGCTCAAAAGAGTTCATTTTATTTTGACGGAAATTTCAATAAAATAAATGCAATAAGAGATTTTCAGGAATGTTCATGCAGTACAAAACAGAAATAATAATAATTGCAAATGGATTCTGCATGCAGACTAATAAAATACGCAAGCTAATGATTGAAATATATATATAAATTCCGGAGCAAAAAAGAACACATTGATCAACACCATTTTATGATGAAGCTTGAAGTTAGGAATGCGGAGATTCAGGTTATAAGTTGCACTTCTTGAAAAATAATAATATCATCAAAGGTCATACTCTCCAACACTTTGTTCCAAGTACTCTCTGTAAAGTTGTTGCTAAGAGAAAATTTTCAATATTCAGAAAAACTTGTAAAATTATATGATCACTTACTCTCTTAGGAATTATCACTTCCTTAATGAATGTATTTGTATCCAGTAAGGCCTGTTTTGTTTTTCTCGGCAGTGTTGGTCTCCTGCCTGAGCACCACTTGGCAACAACCCCAAACACAATCGAACTGATGAGCAAAACTCCAAGAGTAGTTAATTTGCTGCCTGTTATTTAAAATGTTATTTTGAATAGGTCACACAGGATTCTCGAACATACCTTCCGGAATCATGGTCCACAGGAATTTGGCCGGAGTCAAAGCTAGCAGGACGTAATCACTTACAGCATTTCCCAAATTGGCTCTCAACGTCTTTTCAGAAACAAACTCAATCACAAGGTGGAGAATTAACAGAAGTGGCAGCAAAAAGGCAACACCAGAAAAGACGAGTCCTAAAATTAAGAATAGATCACAAACATTATAATTTGTATTTGTAAAACAAAAATTAAACCTCTTGTGGTTGCTTTCATGTTGTCTTTGCTGGCCGCATCATTCACCGCCAGCTTCTCTCTAGCCAGTTTCATAATTTTTTCGCAGTCTTTACCCAGGGTGTTCAAAGCGCTTTGAATAGTTTGGTTTATAGTTTTTTCTATCTCTCGGCAAGCGTCCTCAATCTGATTAACACATCTAGTTGGCTGGAGATTTTTGTATTTAGTAAAATTATTTAAAAAAAAAAAGGAGAGTAAAAATACTTTGTTACTGTCCGGAATGTAGATTGTGGGCATATCAAAACCCGTCTTGTTGAGGCCTGGTCGTTTGCATAGTTCTTGGACAATTTGCATCATAACCCTTGATGGCAATTAATTTAATTATTTTCTATCTAAAATTTTTATTTACTTTTGTCTGTCTGCTTCTGTGCCAGCATCATCAGCCTTTGAAAGGTAGAAGCGCATTTTTTCGGCGTGTTGGAAATTCATTTTTTCCACCAAAGACACTGTCCTGTTGCACAGAGCTTGGCCGATGGGGTCAAAGAAGACAAAAACCAAATCGGCCATTGACCCTGATCATTTAAAATTTAATTTGGAAAGAGGAAAATACTATGTGAAAATTTACCTAGCCAAAGAATGGCATCGTTGACATCAAAATGGTACTGCAAGGCTCCATCGACAAGGCCAGGCGTGTCCACAAAAGTCACCAGAGGAAATTTCTTTTGTTTTGATGTGGATATCTCAGTGGACAGGAAATCCACAACACCTATGGTAAAAATTGAGATAAACACAGGAAATAAAAATTAATTATTTATATATTGTGAATAGTTGCCTGAAGTTGTTGAAACTAGGACATTTAAAAAATGCAGCATTAAATTTATTTTTATTGTAGCCTTTAAATAAGTTGACCTTTATGTTGATGCAAATTATTTTCTGATTCAATTTTAAGTTTCGTACATATATACAAAAAAAAACTACCATAGGTCAAGAAAATATTGAAAATAACAATTTAGCTTTGAGTCATAATTTTTGTTTTTAATTTTCCGCACCTCAAAATTTAGCAGCAAAAATATAATTAATTTTATTGAAATATTTTATAATGACTTAAAAATAGAAATTAATTTCATGTTTTAAGTCTATTTAATATATAATTTATTTTTTTAGTCAAAAATCAAAATATAAAATGAAAGTGGAAATGAAGAGATCAGGCTTTTCCTTGTTGCAGAAATTGCTTTTTCATTTAAAAATCACAAATTGCTCACTTCTTTTTTATTTTAATTTAAAAAAGCAAACAATTTCTGCAACGAGAAAAAAGTCTGATCTCTTCATTTCCATGAGTGTCAACTTCTTCAAACAAAATAGAAAGAAAGATATAATAATTTTCCATATTGGGAAGCAGTTCAGAAGTTTGAAATTACGCCACAAAATAAACAGGGTTCTCAATTATTTGTGCTAAAAAATGTTCAGAAAATTTTAAATAGACACTGCAAATGATTTTCCTGAATCTTTAATATGAATGGAGATCATAACCGAAGTGAAATATTTTTTTCAATATTTAAATTCGATTTAAGCCAATTTAAATTTTCCAAAACATTTTTTAGCACAGGTTTTCAAGAAAAACTTGCAATTTTACAAATTTTCAAATAATAGTACAACACAAAATAAAATATAAGTAACAACAGAAAAAAGTACAAAAAGAACAGAAAACAATGAAGTCAATTAAAAAATGGTTGGCGTAGAGTGCATAGGTGTGTGTGTTTCTAGAGGTTAGGGTGCGTGTCAGTGTTGCCCTTCACAAGGCAGCTAGCGTTCAAAAGCGAGCTAAGCGCCCAGGGAGGAGCCGAACTTGACGCACTACTGTGAAAGAAATCCCACCACCACGTGGGTGCCATCCATCTACGCACATGCTGACTGAACGAGCGACTGAGAGCGACTGATACCAAGAGGCCCTCCGTGGACCTTTATATCTCGAGCAAGCAGGAAACTGCCGCCCGCCCGCCAGGCCCGGCACAGGAAAACCAAGAAACTCCCCTCGGCCACTTCCATGCCAAACGCTGGTCAGCCGACGGTTCGTTTTTAACCAAGTGCGCGTTTCAAGACCCAAAACAACAATCAGAAACCGCAGAGATTGTGAGCTCGGTAGCAGCGGCTGAGCGTATGCAAGATGTGATAAAGAACAAGATTGAGATTGCAGCCCAGAAAACGAACAAGCTCAAGCTTAGGGGGCGTAATTTCTTGCCGAGCGATAACAAATATACCACAAGCACCCGACTACATTTTACAATACTGTGATTAATTGGAAAACTGATTAATAATTAAAAATATATTCTGAACTCATAAAGGTTGGAAACCAATTAAAAATCTATTGATAGAGAAAAACAGAAGTTACAACCACCGATTATTATACATAAGAAAAAAGACTAATTGTAAATTAAATTAAAAAAGGGTTGTTATATTCTTACCTGGGATTCTGCTTAGAGGTTTAAGATGCGGATACAGGTGCAATGTGGCATTTCCCTAAAAATTTGATAAAAATTTTGTTAACGGCCAAAGGGCAAATACGGAAAAAAAAAACACTTGCCATCAAAGTCTCCCTCTTCTTTCCACTCGTGACAATTATGAAACCCTGTGTCTCAATTGCGACGCCAGTTCTTTGCACGTGCTCCTCAATATACCTGAAAAGCATAATATATAAATTCCTCATTTTATTTTCAATTTGCCAATTTAAAAAAAAAGTAATAAGAAAATCGTAGCTCTAGATTTCCCAATTTTGAAAGTTACGACGTTTTTCTGAAAAACTTAATTTTATAGAATAATTCGGTATAATTTATACTTTTTCAAATTTCCAGTGAGTTAACTTATTATTTTATTTTTTATATCGTTGGTGGTAGGGAAAAGTTATTTCAATCAACGTTAAAAGCTCAATCAACTTATAAAAAATTTATTTCATCATTTATTTGGCAAGTGATCCTGCAAAAAAGCGTTGTTAGTAATAGTGACCGGCTAAATCTTTTTCGTGGATCTGTAGATGTAATATAAAATTAATCTTTTTCTAAGTTTTTTAAATTATATAAAATTTATTATATTTTCCATTTTTAATTCTTCAGTTAAATAATTTTTACGATTATTAATTTTTAGCCAAAAAAAAATGTATGAAATCAATAGTTGGAAGCGTGACATCACGTTTGAGCGCGAAGGCAGTGACGGCGGGCGACACATGGCGCAGACATTTGTGCCAAATACAGTGCACAGGAAGTGGTGCTCGATAAAAACCAAAGGGTGTAGCTGCTTATGGGAAACTCGGCCTTTATCAACTTTGTAGAAGCCCAAACAAAATGCTCTCGACGGCTAATTAACATTTGGAGCTAGACGATTATCAGAGGAAAATGAATGTATACAACATCGAGAAAATAAATTATCAAGGAAAGCATGGTGGGACTGAAGGGAATGCCATTAAAATCTAAAATAATTATACACCATTTACTTGCAACAACAAATATATAATATATATTGATGAAATATGAATTAATTGGAAAAGTTGTTAAAAAGGCGAAAAAAGTCGAAACACATTTCTTGAGGTTTAGCGCGTTTCTTTATCTGCACAAAAACAACCCCACACACACACTTTTGCCCACATCTGGCCTCTTTTGTTAATTTAATCTTGAACACAGTCAAACTCACCAATTGATAAAGGAGGATTTTCCTGCCGAATGGTTGCCGATTAGCATCACGGTGACTTTCTTCCTCGGCGCCAGAAGTTTAAGTCCGAGCAGCTCTCCCAGCTTTATCAGACCTGCAACGAAGATGCGGCACCATGGAGAGACGCTATCCAAAGAAAAATAATTCCTCCCTCGCTCAAACTAAAGAAAGATCGCACACACATGTCCCCCAGCAGGAGCTGCAAACTTACATAAAAAGTGCGGACACGTGTGCCGCCGGCAACCGACCAGCGCGCCAAAATCAACAATTTTTCTTTTTATATTGTGTTGTACAAGTTTTTTAATTTGCCCTTCAAACGCTGAACCCTCTTGTCAAATTTTACTCCATAAAAATTTGAATGCAAAAATTATGTGAGGGTTTTCATAAATTCAAATTTTGGGATTTTTCAGTAAATAATATAATTCACCTCATGCAGTGCAGTGGTGGGTGAAGAGCCTTTTAGATTTTATATTTATTTATCAACTTGATTCTGACCATGAATCGTTTATAAGTTTTAGGGGAAAAAATGGAACTAAAATAATAACATTTAATTTTACTTCTACTATTGCATTTTTTAAAAAAATGGCTGGTCTTTTTCATTACTTAAAAAAAATTATAAACCTGAGACTCTTTCGACCAAAATAATTTACACCACCATTTCTCCTTTTTTTTAAATTCTGATTTTGGTTGCTTAATATTTCTGTTAAATGGTGTCATTCATTTGTACTTTAGAATAATCAAGTATATTATTTTGCTCTTCATCAACGTATTATTTACGCTAATCAATCGAGGGGCTGAATTTTACTTCCGCTCCCTTAACGCCCACTTTCTTGGAAGTCAATCAAAATCATCGGAATTAAATAGAATTGTTTAAAAATCACAATTTTAAATCTTGCTATTAAAAATCTTTGTTTTGTTTGTAGTTAAACCATAACTTAAAAACTGATACATTGAGAAAGTTAAAGGAAATCTTGATAAAACAGTCTAACGCAGGTCTGAAGCACACCATAATTTAAGGCCATCTATATATAATTCTGAATTATTAATTCATTATTCCTATTGAATAACCTTGATTTTGGCTTCAAAACATTATTTTCGTTAAATTTTTAGAAAGCTTACATGTTATGAATTCGAATTTGAATATTTTTTATTTTGCAACAAAAATATTTAGTTGCCATTTTTTCCATGTTAAACATAAAATTATACTCACACAAAATTCAAATTGAAACCAAAATAAACTTGATGATTGTTATGACTATAACTTTATGTTGAATTGGACGAACCAAGAAAAGTACGATAAAGGCTGTGGGGAAATATGATTTTTTTTTCTTGTTGCTATTTTCGAGGAATTCGGGCATAAAATTAAAAATCACAAACCTCTCTCAGGGTCCGTGTACATGGTGTGACATTCTTTCAGAATCCTCTCGTTGACGCTCAGGGTAACTTGCTCAGGTGAATTGACAGCCTGACGAGCCCTCGCGCCACTCTGACTCATTATTTTAGTGAAGTTGTCGAAATCTAAAACCACAAAATTATTTTGTTTTCAGTTTCTAGTAATATAATTTATAATCGTTTTTCTGCTTTTAAAAATTCTTTAAATTTAGTAATCGTTTTTGATAAAAGAGATATTGATGCTAAATTAATCATAAGTATATGAGAAGTAATTTTTATTATAAAAATTGAAAAAATTGGTTGTCGCAAAAAAAAAAGTCTTTTTGTGTTATTTTTCTAATTTATGTGCGTTGAAATTTAAGTTGTAAACACGCCAGGAACTACAAAACCTGTTATTTTTAATTTTCATTATCACTCGTGCTGAAGGCTGAAGTAAAAAATCATGGTTTGCGGTTTGGAAAATCCAACTTGTTGCTGCTGTGTGGCCTTTTTATCAAAATCGTACCCGGTTGGCAACAACGACGACCGGCTCGAAAATTACCACGATTTCCGAACGAAACTTTTCCAAAGTAAATGCAAATCTTAAGGGCAAACACCCGTGCTTCGAATTTCGGTAATCAACGAATTGAAAAGGACTGCTTAAGTCTGCTAATTAAATTACCTGTCAAAAATTTCCTTCAACGGCAACTCATCTGCTGCCGAAATAAAAACAATGCTCGGCTGCTCCAGCTGGCGGAAGATCCGCGCACCCGAAATGCGGGCGCGAAAAAATAATGTGTAAAAGGAAACGTGTAAAAAAAATATAATCGGCGAAAATATTTTAAAATTGTGTAATATTTTCATAATTATCCATTACTATTCTTGTTATTAAAAATTATAAGCGTTATTAAAATATTTTTCTAGTAAAATATGAGTATGATAAAATTTAGTATAATATTTTATATAATATAAAAAATACAGTTGATTGCGCAGGATAAAAAATAATAGTGGGGTCTCCATTCTCCATAAAAAACAGACAAAAATGTGTTCTCAATGGTAGATTTCCCACAAACCTTTAACGAAAATTTTGTATTTGAGTGGGAAAAATTTCAGGTACAAATTTTTCATCTAATATATTCAAAAATTGAAAATAGAAAATACCTCATGTTAGTTCTGCTTAAATTTTATAGTGAAAAAGTTAATTTATATTATTAAAAAGCAGTCATTAAAAATCAATCCTAATTTACAATTTTGCGAAATTTTGATTTAGTTAAAATTGATAAAAAAAAAACCATTAATGAAAAGTCGGCTTTAAATTCAAATCACACCATTTGAAATAAATAACTTTTGTTTTAGTTCTAGTAATTTTAAGTCTGTGAGCGACGGAGGGAGTTTTTATTTGTATCTGAAATTCAAGCAAAATCTTTGCTTGTCTGTTGTGGGGTGCCATTTTTTTCAGCAATGTATTCTTCCAATTTTTAATTACAATGTTTGCTCATTTAAACAGACATGCAACAAAAATATAAAGCTGGTTATTTTTCATATAAAAAAAAATGTAACAAAATAAAAACATCCAATATTTTAATATATAAAAGATCTTTTATAAAATCTTGCAATTAAACGAATAAAATTAAGATGGAAATTACTGCTATCATAGTCTCTTCTTGTTATTTTACCACTGTTACTCTATTATAATTTTTTTTTGCTACTTGCCATTTAGTAATATTTTGGAAATAATATTTTACATCTTATCATTTATAATGTCAACATTTTATTTCTCTTCGAGCTTAACAAAATAATAATCACAGTCTCTGCACTCTAATAAACTTGCACAAATTCGTTATATTAGTGTCCTCTCATATAATAATCAATTGCTGTCGAAAAAGCTGCAAAGCCTACCGCACCAAAAATTCCTGCCTTCAGCCCAGCTGCAAAGATAAAAATAATTTAGCTCGACAATTTCCTTATGTATTATTTTCATTTAAACTATCAGCACCTCTCAACCCCAACAAGCCGCCGGTGACTCCGCCGGCATACGTTCCATTTCTCCAATCGCTCTTTCCTCGATGCTGGAATAGGAGGAAAATTATCACCCTTTTTCTTGCGGATCCATTTCCGTTTTAGTCGATTAGGAAATGAGGAAAACTTAATATACCGTTTCTATGGTGCATTCGACTGCAGAAAACATAAGACCGATGAGTGCAAAATTCTTTGCATAACTCAGAGTGGACACCTTCAGATCTTTGAACACTTCCTTGGCCGTCTGCTGTTTTGCATCCTGTCCGGTGATGGTCGGGTTCACACTAGCCGAGAAAAGGCCAATAGCCGCCCCCAAACCGTAGCCTAAAATATAGTCATTTTGTCCAATTCGGCTTAAGAAAACTTATGAAATTTTTACCTAACACGCAGCTCATGCCTGACTTGAAGAAACAGCTCTCGAAAAAGCCTTCAACCATTTTTTCTTCGTTCGTTTTTATTGTGACTGGACCCATGTTGCGAGGAACGATGATGTTCTCCCGATACCTGGACAGTCCGCCCATCATGTACTGGACAACCTGGTCATATTCCTCGCTGCTGAAAATCTTGGACTTGGTTTCGGACATTCTGCCGAATGACCTGATTCAGAATAGAGGAGATAATTTGATTTTTTTAAGAAATAAAAGTGCAATTGTGTGACCAAAACAGCCCTCAATGCACTATTTACATCAAACATGCGACAAACCAATGTTGCCAACTTTATAGACAGCCGTAAAATTGATTTTTTTTGCGTTTTTTTGTAAGGGTAAAATCAGCATCCTTTTCCTTTGTGAATATTTATATTCAATTATGAACTATTATAATATTTAAATTTCACATAGAAAATCTTTTCAAATAGAACAACTTGCTGAGAATCTTTTTCACTAAATACATATTTAACGCAAAGCCTCTTTTGTAGCTTTTCATCGGTTCAATATAAATTGATATAATGGATAATATAGATCAACAATAAAAAGCCAAGTTATCTTCTTGTACAGTTTATTTTATCTTTTCATTTTGCTTTTCAGAGATAAAAACTACATAAACAAAAGAAGAGATTTGAAAGATTTTACAGAACATAGAGTTGGGGGCACTTTTCGCAATTGCAGGACATGTCGTTTGTGTTAATTTCTATTTCTTTTTTTCGTGGTGCACGACTTATTGAATATTTACATTGGATTGATTCACCATGATGCACCGTAACACTGATAGGAGGTAAATTAAAAATAAATCAATAAACTTTTGGATGGATTTATCCTGTTGATGTTTGACCCACCCAACACGAGGACTCGCAAGAGCTGCCAAATCATTTCAGGAAAAAATTACTATAAAAACACAAACAATAAATGTAAAGTTCCGCAAAGTAGTTCAAAAGACGTCCAATTGATTTTAAGTTACAACATACTTGAGCGTGACATTAAATAGAGTAACTAGTAACAAAAGGCCCAGGTGTTAAAAAAAGGTGAAATAATTTAACCCTCGAGAGTCCCCATTGTTTAAGTGAGCAAACCCAAGGGCGAGTTTGCTTGTCCATAGCAGACTAATCAAAGCTACTATGCTGTCCCTTTTTCAATTTGGTTTTCTGCTCGGCCTAGCAAGTGTCCGAGTAAGTTTCTTAAAGCAACACAACTCGTAGAGCAAGATTTCAGATTTTTTACTGCAGCTGGTCTATACATTTTTTTTTTTTTGAAATTTTAGTAGAAACAAACCAATTTGATTCTATATCAAATTTTTCCACAGCCGCCCGATTTCGCCCAGCTGGCTGTTTGTTCTTTTTTACCCCAACAAAATTGTGCTTACAATACGTAATAATTCGGTTATTTGAGGTTTAAGTTGAGCTTCCATTTTTTTTTTTACAGTAATCTTTTTTCCAACAGAGACAAGCGCAAGACACGAAGTAGAAGAAGTGCTGCCAGAATTACATACGTATAGTAGAATGATGATTACAGGGGTTGGTTTTTCGATTTTTGGTTTCTTTTTACTTGCTTTCTTTTATGTTCTAAACTTGGATAACTTAACATAATAATTCCTTTTTACGCCAAACTGGCTGATCTGATGTAAACATTCATTCCCACCTTAAGATTAAGAAATTGCATGAACATTAATTAAATCGTGTTTATGTGATTGTGATGACGATGGAAACAGAAAAGAATTACCTCACCAAATAATTAAATATTTTTTATCTAGTACGACATTAAAGGTGTTTCAGGTCAGTCCTGAAAAACGTCCTTGGCAATGCGGCTGGGCGCCAAAACAAAAAGGTCAGGCCAATGAGATGTTTATTCAAACAGTGCTAGTTCAGTGCCCCCTGAGCGGAGTGCTCCGCTCTAGTATCACAGTTCTTTGGAGGCGACCGGCCAACATTGCGTAAATGGACGCCAATCGTAATTGACCAAAACAGGTTTTTTAACATAAAATTAATTCGATAATAAGTAAATTGTTACAAAATGAAATGCTTTTCTCTCTCTTTACACATTTTTACATATCAACTGGGTGGTTTTTTGTATGTTTGTTTGTTTGGCTGCAGTTTATTTTGTCTGTTTTTAATATTAACTATGTTTTCCTCTCTTCGACTTGCAGGAGAAATGCTCAGTCACGAAAACAATATTTTCTTTTTACATTCGCAAACGTTTCTCTTGGGTGTGGGGTGGTGTATGCGTTACTTGGTGAGATTGGATCAGAGATCTCTTTTCAGATGGTCGTAATGTGGGAGATAAAAAATAAATTCGCGTTCAACTCGAATCTTCTCACTTCTTCTTTGCTTTATTGGTGGCGCCTCTCGGTGGTGTGACTGGCCTGCCAGTGTTGAGGCCTCCGTAAGTGAATTTCCGCTTGTCAGCAGGCTAAAATTGAATTTTCAGAGAGCAAATAAATAAATCATAAACTAAACTCATGAGAGAAAAGAGAAAGATGATTGTGAACTATCTAAGACCTCCAAGTTTCTTGAAAGAGTCTATAACTATTTTTTTCTTTCTTCGAAAATAATGCATGGAAACATTTATTTATACTAAAATAAAGTTAGTTTCAGACATTCATGCATTTTATTTAAAAAATTGTTTTGATTTGGTTTGAGTAGCTACTTTACTTGCAGGGGCAAAAAATATCAAAATCAAGCAGTTAGTTACAGCTGGGACAAAAACAGGTTTGAGCAAAAAATATTGGTTAATTAAAATCAGTCAAAAATCAAAACGAAAGTCAATGTGGCACACCATTCAGTCCTATCGATCCATTGACCTCCACAAACATATTAGTGTCAGGTGTCAAAAACAGAGTTGCATCATTATGGAGTGCCATATCTTGGCAGGTCTCAGAAAAATTTGAAAAAACAAAGTGAAAATAAAATTAATGGCAGGATTGAGGGAAGTGGTAGGGTGGTTTTATTTTCAGGTAACATTAGGATGAAGTAAAGCTAAAACGGTGATGACCATGAGGACGGGGCTAGAAAAAATGAAAGAGGAGAGCAATCATAGGCAACAGTGAACTACAGGCGCAGAATGTCAGACGACTCACCTTGAGAATCTGGAAGGAGCACATTAATGTCTCGTCGACGGACATCATTGCACCGGCATTGTCAAACTCGCCGCAGTAGTTGGGAGCCGAAAACAGAGTGACCAACTGCCGCTTAGCAAAAAATTCATAACCATCTTCCACAACCTGTAGAAAAATACAAATTCAAAGTTATTTTCTGCATACATATCGAGTGGTAAAGGTTATCAGTCGGATGTTCAAGAAGGGTGTGGGGTGTGATGACCTTCGCAGTTGGTCTTTAGCATGAATAACATTCATTGATGGCATAAAATGTATTGAACAGGGAGATAATTAAAAAAAAAGTATAGGAAATGTTCAAGCCAACGTTCACCCCCTTGTCAAATACAGACAAGGAGAAATTAACACATTTGCTCATAATTAATCTTCGAGGGTTGTCCACAAATAGGCAGATGGTATTCTGACTACTTTCTACTTTCCTCGCAACAATTTTCTTTGTAGTTTGAAATTTATTAGTGAAGAGAAAAAAATGTATTGAATTATAAGTACCTGATGTGCTCTGCAGATGAGGTCAAAGTCATGTTTGTGAAGGAATTTGCCAACAACCTCAGCGCCAAACGTGAAGCTAACGCCTCTGTCGTTCTCTCCCCAGCCCATGGTGTCCTTGTCGGGGTCAGACCAAAGCAGATCGCAAAGGAGGCCCTGGTCGGGCACGTCTGTTGGTCGCATGATGCGGCGAATCTGCTCCATGCTCTGCAGGTCGGGGCTGAGGCCGCCGTGGCAGCAAAAGATCTTCTCGTCGACAATGGCGGCTACGGGCAGACAGTTGAAGCAGTCGGTGAACGTTTTCCAGAGCTTGATGTTGTAGCGACGCTTGCACTCGTCATAGAAGCCGTATATCCTATTGATGGAGGCGCACTCGTGGTTGCCACGCAGCAGGAAAAAGTTCTCAGGGTACTTAATCTTGTAGGCCAGCAGCAGACAGATGGTCTCGAGACTCTGCTTCCCTCGGTCGACGTAGTCGCCGAGGAAGAGGTAATTCGACTCGGGTGGGAAACCTCCGTACTCGAAAAGACGCAGCAGGTCATAGTACTGGCCGTGAATGTCACCTGGAAATTGAAAAGTTCAAAAAATTAGTAAAATTTTGTTTTTCATCGCATATAAGAAGAATTTTCTTAAAAAAAATTGTAAATCAATTGGCAAAATTTGGATGTCTGGGGGTTGAGAGGAAAAGCTTTTGAAGATAATTTTTTGAAATAAAAATGAATTTTCATCATTATTGATCGCAATTTGCTGAGCAAAAAATATAAATAATAAAATTTGAACTGTGATTGGAGATGTGCAAAATTAGCCCAAAGTACTTTGACTCAATGACAAATTTAGGTTTTGTAATCTGCAAGGTGCACTCTGACGACCTACTTCTTTCAAAGAGCTTGAAAACAAAAACGCAGCACTGCGTCTCACAATCAGTCAGATTATTTGCGCACCTCAAGATCCGAGCTACACCAGAATGGGTTCCAATTTCATAATCTTATCTGCTCGACGGACTTCAACTGACTTTTATTTGCAAGTCAGATTATCGAATGAGAACTGCGAGTCTTGCTTATTCGCAAGGAAAAGCGGCTTAGGAAGTCTCGCGTGTCGACATTCAAGCGGGGAAAACTCAGCAGAATTTTCCGTTTGAAATGCAGTATGCACAATATGCAAAAAGTGCACGTATGACGCATTCGAAGTGGGCGTCGGACCGACTAGATGCACCGTTTGGCTTCAGTGCAGAACGAAGAGGCGGAAAATGCAGCCCGCTCGCCTGCTCAATTTCACGCGAATCAATAGCGTGACTATCGATGAGTCTGAGTAAAAATAGCAGCCGGGCGGCCAACGGCGGGTGGTTGGGTTTGTTTCATCAATGATAATGACGAACGCGCGCGCCCTCGACGCGTGTCCCGATTGACATGAATAATGGGAGAACCGAAATTGATATTGATACGAGCTGGTTGTTAGAATGAATGCGATGTTATTTTTATTTATCATCAGAACGAGGGCCACAAACGTGTTCCACCATACAGTTTTCTGGAAGGAAACGATCTCTTGGGCTTTTGAAGCAAAGCTATTTGAATATTTAGCCACAAAAATAGATTTGATTATTTAAAAAAAATAATAATAAAGATAAATATATAACTAATATTTTCCATTTCATGTAATTTTTTCACTGTTGAATTAAATAAATTACTTTATCAGGTTATTGACTGGACTTTGGTTTGCTTAATCATTTTTCTAGAAATTGCAAGTCGTTTCCTTACACGCTAAGAAATATTACATTTCTTGAAACCAAGGGTAATCCCGCTTGTATCTGCAAAAACCACACCAGCCGCAGAAAACTTATCCGATAAAATGGCAAAACCTACGAGCGTGAGTGATTAATTAATTAGATCACACTTAATGAGACTACCGAGGGCGCGCAGATGATAAATAGACAGCGTCCCAGCAGTCAGTCAACATATGCATTCCGTATTAAAATGAGGCGTACGTGCGTCCGACCGAAATACCACAGACGTGGACCGCAACCGAGCTACCCCAGAGTGACACAAATGCCACTCATCCTCGGCCCAAGGACGTCCAAAGATGAAGCAGACCGAGAATAAACAAAAATTGGAAATCTGAAACGTTGATTGATCGAGTGATTTCATTATTTGACCGAGAAAGATAATTACGCACAAACACAAAGTGATTTTGCAGAGTGCCCTTGTCGCGGCAGCAACAATGAAATTATTAATCATTCAAAGCGTGCATTTCGAAATGAACAGATAACTGGCTGATCGTCACTGACGCTACCAATAAAAATCAATACGTGTGCATACGGATGATTCAGTGTCAGGGTCAGTCAGTCGCCGGCCTGTCGGTCGCGAAAGGGGTATTGAGCCAAAGTGTGTGCACTCGCATTGCTAATCGCGCACAATAAAATCAACCGTCCCGCAGTAATAATAATATTAATAGGCATGGCGACAAAAGTATTGACTTGACAAGGCGATTGTAATTTCAGTCAGGAGTCAAATTTTAGGTGGCCTTGATTTTGAAATGAGCAGAAAAGATGAAAAACAAACTGGCGAGATAAATCTAAAATGAGGTGCTATCAGATTTAAATTATTACTTAAATAAATAGCTTTAGATTTTTTTTAAGGTTTACTTGCATCAAAATTGAATGAAAAGCAAAGAAGGATTTTATGAGAGAATAAAGAATATAAACGTTAATCGTAAAACTTAAAATAAACTGTTTCTAGTTGGTAAGCAAAACAATTTCTTAGGCTCAAAATCCAGAGAATGTATTTTCCTAGAACAAATAAATAGACTCCTCTGCTTAATTATCGTAACTAACAAGCAGTTGACAAATATTCATTTCAAAACAAAAATATTTTTCTCTTCAAAAGCGGTCCAAAGTCAAAGCATCTCGTGTAAGAAAAAAATTGGGTTATCGGTCGGGATTTATTTTAGTGTCCCTTGGAAACGCCACGGCAAAGAGGACTTCCCATGTTTAGAGCTAACTTGGCATGTAGTTTGCAAATAATCGTCGACATGCGTCCTCGCGAGTCAAAATGAAGCTTTAGCGGCGAATCGCTAATCACGAGAGCGTTGCGATTGTATTTTTCTACGTCGCCGGCGGTCCCTTGCTAATAAAAGGAACAAACACACGACTCTCGGGCAAACACTCGACTTCCACGAGGAAATTAAAATGCGGCGTGATGACACCGCGCGCAAATAATCGACCGTGTGTGTTTTAGCGCGTTGCTATTTGCACGGCCGACCAAGATTAGGCTGTTTGCCGAGGGCGGAATTTTTTTCTGCTCCCGAATGAGGTGCGCGAGAGCCGCGAATTTTGAGACGAAAGAAGCGGCCGGACGAGTTTGCTTTAATCCTCTTTTCGCCAGCAGTGTCGGTCGCAGTGAGTGGGCCAAGGCTGCAGGTCTGGTCGGCGCACAAGGTCAGAGCTTTGACCTCTGCTCGACACCTGTTTCAAAAAGCAACGCGAATCGCGATTGATCGTGCAGATCAAATTATGGGTTTTGCGATTCCTTGAAAAACAGGCTTGTACAAATCAAAGAGTTGTTAAAAATGCCCATTAATATTTTATCCAAGGTGTTAACATTGATATTGCAAAATAAATCAATATGATCACAGGCAAAATTAGTTCAATATAATATTGCTGAATAAAAAAAGGAAAATCATTCCAAATGAAGGTATAATATCAAAGCGAATTTGTATTATAAAATTAAAAATAGAAAAATGACTTCCTAGTTTAGATTTAAGCAATCCATATCAAGGTCAATATTTGAATGATCTTACTTTGTTATAATTTTTTTTTATCATAGTACATACCGTATAGTTAAATTGGGCAACCTAATTTTGAAATACATATCGTGCTGTAGGACGCATTATTTTCCACTTGATTTCCATAACACGGCGCTTAATTTTCCCTTCCTTTGAATAATTCATTTGACCGGAAAAAGCGACACCAAAGAGTCTGCGGCGCACGCCAGCCAACCCTCGCTGTGTTCAAAGAACAAAAAACAGAGGTTGCGGTTTCCTTGGTATGGATTGTTATTTTTTTCCAGACTTTCGCAAGCGAAAATTTGCCTATGGGCGTGTTCACGTGTTGTCGTTGTTTTTCTTTCGCGTCATTGACGCCTCAAACAAGTGGAAAAAAAACTGCAACTGGCGCGGCTTATCAGAAAAGCTGCCAAACATACGGTGTCTCAGCCAGCTAGACGCAGATTCGGTTTTGAATCAATGCCACTTGCTGTCTGATAACACAAAGGCACGCCTGCCGTGAATATTCAACAAGCTGACAATCCAAACAGCAGCCATTTCGGCTTACACGAATAACATTAACTCTTGAACATGTAGGTAGAGAAATAAAAATAACATCAAAAAAGGATTTGAAAAGAAAATTCTGTTAAAAATACATTTAAAAAAGATAGCGTCAAGAACTATGAACCAACCAGACAATTTTTTCTTTGCAAAAATTTTAAATTAATTTAATTGAAGAAACAATGGCCATCATAAAAGTTGCTGATGAAAAAATTAAAATTTCAATGGAATAACACAAAAATTTTGCAGAAATTTATAAAAATATAAATCATTCAAATGCAGGAAATTTAAAACCCTGAGCAAATTTCCTCATTCCAAGAGCTGTCAACCGCGTTTTTTATCTTAGCAAATAATTATTCATGACTACCAAGTGGTTGTAAATCATTTTGTTTGTTCTGGCTGCTATTCATTTGCTTCCCTTGCAACAGTTATTAATTTTCTTTTCTCTTGCAAGTGTACTTGAAAAATGCCTCGGCAAATCGAGATTAATTTGCTTTTTTAATTTACGGACGGCTTGAAATTTACATAATGCATGTATCTTTTACACAAGAGACACCCAAGAAAATGATTATTTAGTAACATTTTTTTAGTCGCAAAAAAATTTATCAAGTTGCGTGAAGGTCGATCACAACGACACAACAGACGCTGCAAATATACAATTAAAAACAACCTTTAATTTCCATTAAAAAAGCTACTTAACTATAACGAATAAGTCGAAACTCAGGGAAATTTTCAAGAACGAGTTAAATAAGCGCCATTGGTGCCACTCCCATGGGAAAGCAAAGTCGGCGAAAATAAAACGCAAAAGCAATGCAACTTACCGCATATTTTGAGAGGTGCTTCTAATTCTAAGAGGATGGGCTGGGACAGGAAAATTTCTCGTGACTTCAAGCAAAGTCCTCTGATTTCAGCCTCTGTCAACTGGACATTTTTACCAGGGCGAGCTCCTCGCACTGAAAAATAAGATTTCCGTGTTAGAATACGGCGATTATTTTTATTATAAATCATTCAATAGTAGTTGAAATGTAAAAACCGGCTTGGAGAATTTGAAAAATTTGCTAATAATGTGCGCAACTACCGAAATTGACAGAATTTGTATACAATTGTATTTTGCATTACAATGGGCTATGTCAACGCACTTGTTTATTTACATTCGACCCCAGCACCTTCTTGCAATAAAAGTCCGCCGTTTTCGGCGGGATTTCAACGCCGACGATTCGAATTTAAGCTTCGTGGCTTCAAATTTGACCGTCTGACGGCGGAAATGCCGAAAACGATTGAGTTTAGTAAACACTAATACGTTATTACGGCTCGGTTCGTTCTCCGGTCTTACCTTCCAAAAGTCGACCTATTATGTTGTCGATGTTCAATTTATCCGTTTCGGCCATTCTCTTCGGTTAGTACAGATTGTATTTATCTGTCGCAAGAGTGTCTAGGACGTCCGATGATCGTGGTATAAGTGGATTTAAAAATGTTTTTAGTTAGAGGCGTCTTCTCTATGTCCCTACTTGAAAATGGCAGCTTTTGACAGAGCCGAGCGTGACGTCATTCGCCTGTGTAACGACTCCCACCACCAGAGTCAAAATGACTCACTTTACACACAAATTGACATCACTTTAGTGCCATCTTCATTTAAAAGTTTAAATCTGGTTAAAAAAGTATTTAAGCCTGAAAATTTACAAATTTTAAATTTGTTTGCTAATTTTTTTCGCACAATTCTATGTAATAGACGTAAACCGACTAAAGTGGTTTTTTCAGATGATAGCGCGGGAAGGGAGAAGCGACCGGCGCGATTTCCCCTACATGCGCCGAGCCGCAACCCGCAGCAATTCAGCGGTCATTTCAATTTGTGTAAAAGGTGTCCATTGGGAATTCTATAATAGTGCGGCATTTAATAAAATTGGTTTCCAGCAAAACACGTTACGCAGTGAAAATATTTTTTTTTTCATTCATATATTTTCTTCATAATATTTCATCATACAATTTTTATGCAACGACGTTCATTAACATAATAAATTTAAAATTATTTTAACTTGATTAATAAATCGTCAAGATTGAAAGATAAGAAATGTAAAAAAAGCACGATATTTGCAAAATATTCGTCTACAAATCTGTAACAGCAACCCGAGACCTCAAATAGGCCTGGATGCACTCTTTGCTACACAGACTCTGATTTTCCTTCACAGCAAATTTGTTGTTCAGCAAACTCTTCTTGCAATTGAAACAGCAGAAGCACTCCTCAGTCGCGTGCCAGTGAATCTCCTGCCATATCACACTGCTCTCGCTCGGGCCAATCAATTTGTTGCATGTGTTGCACACCTATTCAAGATTTATTAATGAAGGCGCATTGTTCAAAGAAGGAAGCTCACCTTGGAAAACTTTGCCTCGTAGCAAGCTAAACAACACGGCTGTCCTTCTCGCGAAATATACTTTAATCCTGCTAGCGGCGTGTCGCACTCTATGCAGCAGAAGTGGCGTACGTGGAAGTATTTCTCCTCAGCCAGCGTATATTCAGTTGTGAAAATGAGCTTTAAATTAAATTACCAGATTATTATAATTTTTTAAGATAAAAACTTAAATGCAAACCTCGTCGCAAGCATGGCACCGAGGTATATTGACTTCCTCAGCAAAGTGACGACCACAGAAAAGTTTATCTCCCTTGTGGAAATAGATCAAGTCCACCAAAAGTTCCTAAAAAAATTAATTCTAAATTAATATTAATGAATTTAAAAATAACCATTATTTTCCATTAAAAAAGGATTTGAAATTTTTTTGCAATTAATGCACAAATTTTCTGAGATTATAAATATAAAATTAAAATACAAAATAAATAGAAGTATATTATTAATAAATAAAATCCAAACCTTGCAAGTACTGCAAACAAAACAAGCAGGATGCCAGAATTGACCTGGCCCGGCTCTCTCGGCAGTCACAATCACATCGCCAGGTGCGGCAGGCAGGTTGCACTCCATACATGTGGCGTGTCCAGCTTCAAAAGCAGGGCCCGTCAGTTGCAGACCAGCCAGATCAGCAGGTAGGTCTCCTTCGATGTTGTTGTTTTCAAAACGCTGGGCTCGTTGCGGTAAGTTTGTAATTTCCTTTGGCACAATGGCTGGAGTTTTGACGTCGGAAAAGGACACAGATTTGTTTTTAGGAGTTTGGGCGACGTAATTTGTTTTTTGTTGCTCTTCAACAGGAACATCATTTGTGACAGGTCCACTTGGAGGAATGGTAGGATTTTCATGAGATTCAGCCAAATTTCCATTTTCCAGCTCCATATTTCTAGGAGGACCGTAAGGAATGGGCAAATATGCACTTGGCCTTTTCAGGAAACCAGCAGACTGGTCTTCGGAAGGTTTGCTAGGTTTAAAGGATGGAGGTTCTGTTTTTTCAAGCATCTCCAGGGTGTGAGGGGAAGGTGGCGGAGGGAAAAATTCCTCCGTTTCATTTGAATTTGCGTCGTTTACCAGCATCTTTTCCAGGAAAGCACCCTTTTTCGAATTGGGCGCATTTTGGCCCTGCTGATGAACTTTGTTAGCGGGCACCGGTTTAGCACCACCATTATTTTGCTGTTGGGGCTCATTGAATAAAGGTACGCTCATGATTACACTGCCGTCTTTGGCCAGGGCACCGTAGTTCATGCCAAGCTCCTTCAACATTGCCGCCAGGGTGGCCACCCTACCCTGGCCCACGGCGCCCTCTTTCAGGTGCTGGCGGTAGTTCTCGAGGCCGACAACCTCCTCATCTGTTAGCGAGTGACACTTGCTGGGGTCCAAGTCGTGCATTGGAACCTGTCGTTCGAGTTTTTCTCTCCGCCTCTGCGCGCCTTCGGTGCCGCTTATTGGTCGCAGTGCCTCCGGAATTTCTTGCATGTAACGCTCAGCCTGGAATTATTATAATATGTCATCATTACAAATTTTCTTGCTTGACGCTATATTGGAGTCTGGGATTTGGATTATGAGAGGACAAGATCCATTAAAATATTAAAATGGGCACTTTACTCTTGGCACTTAAAAGGATTATACATTAAAAATTATTTTATCTTACTGACTTTTAACAGATGGGATTATATAGTTGTAATTTTTACATCAGAAGCAAGACCAACCATAATATTAATTTTTAACGTTTTAATTCTTATTTACTTTTGATTTGATTTAAAATTATATTCAATTTAATTTCGCTATAATAAAAAAATTGTATAAAAATTGACATCTTATATTATATATTTTTTCTAATTTAGAAAAATTTTCATGGTTTGTTTTATAATTTCAAATACAAAGAAAAATGTTTGTCACCAGTTAAAATGTCCATAAGAGGGCATTAAAATTCAAGCCTTGCTAAGATTATTTCCACTCACCACATCCGGCGTAATCCCAGGAGGGAGCCACTCAAAGGAGAGTAAATTTTCTTTGTCGTCGTCCTTACCGAACTTCAGTTTGTCTGTGAAGAGAATGATTTAATTTCAGCCAGAGAGTTGAATACGAGCGTAGGAATATGGCAATTAAATTTATTTCCAGCGAAAAACACCATGTAATTTAAGAATTGTGAACAAACTCCTATAACTCACATGTCGGTTTCTTGTTTCCTGCCCCTAGCAGTATTTCAAACTGGTTGGAGCCACCATCATCGATCACATCGTGCTTCTCTTTACTGCACTTGCAATTACGGCACGATTTTCTGTGGGAAGGGAAGAAGCAAAAATAATTATTATACTGGTCGAAAAATTGCAGGAAAGGGATGTTGAAATTTTACATCTAAAATTATTGCTTTTTTGACACTGAACTGAAAAATATCAAAATATTATTACCGGTCATAAGAAAAAATTAATTTTTTTTTTCATTATTTTCATTAATTGTTATAAATTATAATAATAATTATCTAAATATTTTCAATATTTAAAATTTAAATTATGTATAAATTTGAATCACAAATAAAAATAGTTCTCTCATTCTTATCATGGGATATTAAAATTAGCTCTTCTAAAAAACACCCAAAAAATTAAATTAAATTTAAATTTTGGTTGAATAAAATTATATATTTACAATAAATTATTGAAAAACTTTAATGCAAGACCTCAATAAGGTTGCGTTTAGAAATACGAAGTTTTAGTGGGGTCGTTTTTATGCGTAAAAAATATTTTCCAAAGAATAAGTCTATGATTTTGAAAAGGAAATTTTCAAATTGAATATTTTGTAATAAAAAAATATCCACCTCCAAAAGTGCAAATCCAGGCCGGGACATGCTCCAGCACAGGTCAAACACGGTGCGCCAGCACCAACATCATGTGCCAATTTGTGCGGCTGTGAAAAAAAGAACGTTAGAAAAAAACGGCCGTGCCATAAAAGCGATGAAAAAGTGCAAATAAAAAATAGCGTGATCTCGTCCACAAATGGAATGCAATAAAATTGAAAGGTTTTTCGTTCGTCTGTTGTATAATTATGTACCTGCAGCCGTCGCTTCTCAAGGTCGCGCACCCACCCTGGGGTGGAGGCGCCTTGGTTCGGCTCCAGGTCGGTGCTCATCGTGCTGAGGTTGCAAACGCAAAGAACTGGCAGCGGCGCGGTGGCGATCGGCGTGTCAACGGAATTTCTCCTCCAAAACACGCGTCATCTATCTTTTCCTGATTTACTCGTGAGTCATACCGTCGTCATTCCGCTCTTTATCAAACCAACACAGACCAAACCACTCAACTCACAGTGTTCACCTTTCGCTCTCTCTGCGCCCCCCTCCCGCAAGCGAACACTCGGCCGTCGCGCTGCCCCTTCCACTCATTCCATTAAAAAGTGCTCTCGTCTGCGATTGTTCTTTGTGTTTGCGTATAAATTCAAAGAAGTGTATTCGGCAGCATATATTGGAGAAAGGAAGGGTTACCGCGTATTATGTCGTCGAGAATGCATTTATGTTAATTATCTGTAATGATGCGCGCTTCCTGTCTCAAATTTTATTATAAGAACAAAAATCGCTGTTATTTTTTGCTTTCTTATCCTAGTGAGCATGAGAAAATAAATAAAATTATAAAAAAATTATGCGAGTTTTCTAGAAAATGAAAACAATGGTTCGAACATTTTTATTCGATGGTTGTTTTTAAAACTGATCGAATTTCCTTCAGAACCCCCCAACCCCCTAAAGCTCCCCAATGGTTTTACGTTAGCCGCGCTCATTTATTTTGATAATTTTATCAACAGCCAATCAGAGTTTTCCAAATCAACGGCCTCTCCCACCTCGACCGCACAAAATTGACGTAAACATTGAAAAGGTGAGGTTTGTAACAGAAATTTCTCGATTAATCTTTAAATTAATTTTGAAGTTGACAAAATTCTGCCTCTTTCAGTTGAGCAAACATCAAACAAAATGCTGTTCTCCTTTCCAAGCCCTGAAAAAATCCTCAAATGTCTTGTTGTGATCCTCTTTCTAACTCTGCATGTCCAGGCCAAGGGCAGTGTCTCGTTGGACACCTACACTTTTGATAAGGTAAAATCCAGTGATATACTTTACCCGTGATTTTTTGCGGCACTTTTTATTCTGTACCAAAGTCATTTTTCGAAGTGCAGCACAAAACATGCACACTTACAACATTTTAATTTTCATTTTTACGAAGCCGGCTTTTTTCAATTTTTATAATTTTACCTTAAAATGTTTTTCAGCTCATTTCTAAATTCAAAGCCACACTCGTAAAATTTGACATCGCCTACCCATACGGAACCAAACACGATGAGTTTGCAAAGGTTGCCGAAGCCTCTCACCTTCTTCCTGACCTTTTGGTAGCTGACGTCGGAGTAAAAGACTACGGAGACAACGATAATAGCGACCTGGCCAAGAAATATGACGTGAAGAAAGAGAATTACCCCGTGGTGAAATTGTTTGTCCAGGGTAAGGCAGAGCCGATAGACTTTACTAGCAAAGATTTCACCGCTGAAGAACTGAAGAAATTCATCAGGTCCAACTCAGGCGTCTATATTGGACTGCCGGGCTGTTTGGAGAGTTTTGATGCTTTGGCGACTGAGGTAAAAACATTTTCCTTTTTTTCTTTTCGATTGTTTATCTTTCGACTTACAATTAGTTTGTAACTTCTGACGTGGCCAAAAGAAAAACCATTCTGAGAAAGGCTGAAGACTTGTGGGACACGGCGACAGGCAAAAGCGAACAAAAGGCTGCCGAAATGTATGTGAAGACAATGAGGAAAGTGATTGAAAAGGGTGACGAATTCGTAACCAACGAACTGAAGAGGGTGCAAAATTTAATGCAGGGAAAAGTGAGCAATGATAAAAAACAGGACATGTCATATAGACTGAATATCCTCCAGTCATTCCAGAAAGACGAGCTGTAAATTGTTAAAATTCCATTAGAAACATCTCTTGAGAACATTTTTAGCACAAAAAGTTGCAATTACGATTTTATCTTATTTTTGATCATTTAATGGGTTTTCTCGAAAATGTATTCTAAGCTTCCGAGGAGATACCTTGTTTTCTCCAATTTTGATGGACAAATTTAAATGTAATGCACCACAACCTTTTGAGACGTGATATCATTTTTTGTTGTTTGTATGATTTCAACATTTTAAGGAAAGATGTATAATGTGGTTATAACATTTTTGTAAATAAAAAAGCATTTTCTTGGCATTACTAATACAACGTTTTATTTTTGTGCAAATGAAATTGAGAAAATACACTAATTAATTCTAGAGTCTAACACCATATAAAATGCGCCTGGTTTGTTATTATGATCCTTTTTCAAAAAACAAGTTACTTATCCTCACGGAGTGGGGGCGCTCGCACACAAGAACAAACGGATGTGAATGCAGAAGTGAGCAAATTGACATTTAGAACAAGTACTGATCGCTTTTTAAAACCTCTGACCAGCTTGCACGCACTTATTCAGCTGAAGATCATCAGTTTATGGGATAATAGACACTGAACAGTTTTCTACTCACACATCATTGTACTTAAAAAACTTTTTAAAATGCTTCATGCCCTGGCAATGGCAGGAGAAATAATTAAGCTGGCCACTGAGCGTCCGAATGCGTCAGGCAGGTTGGGAGACTGAAGGTCTTTCCCAGCCCGCCGTCATAAGTTCGAAACGTCAGTGAGCCCCTTCTTTGAATCTCACTTGCCGCAAGAAAATTTGTTCATAATCGAATAAAAAAAATCATGCGACCCTTTAGAGAAAGCGAGTTTGATTTTGAACTGGCCGAAATAATTTTTGTCATTAAAAAGTAAAAAGTGGTTAAGTTTTTGATTTTGTACTTTGCAGAGTCGAGATTCAGGATGATTAAAAGTGTGCAGAGTGCGTCAACTTGCAACAATCCACTGCCAGGGCATACATGGATTTAGTGGTCGGCTGTTTACTGGAGGAGTTTGTTCACCATGTTCAAAACTGCGGCAGGTTCTGGAAACTTATCCTTACGCGGAGGTCCTTTCTTGAGTCCCGTCCAGAGGGAGTGGCGTTCTTCTCCCAGGATCAGGTCAATTTCAAAAGCACCACGGCGAGGGGCTTTGTCTTCATTGATAAGCAACTCCAGGTCAGGATAAGCTTCTTGCAAAACGCTGCCAATCTCCAGCGCTTTGCGCTTAAATACTGATCATGATTTGCTGAAAAAAAAAAGAAAATATGGGGTTAAAATCATGAATCAAATTTTGTGTTACTTTGTTCAAATTAATAACTGTTATATTTTAATGGTAATTAATTTAATTTAAGTACACCTCATTAATTAAAAAGAAATATAAATTTCGCAAAAAATCAACTTCTTTTATTTATCTCTAAATCGCCTCAAATTACCAGGCTTCGATGGCAGCCTTCTTGCCCTTGGCCTTTGCACCATTAGTGGAGGAGCCATTGGCAGTCTTGCTCTCAGATTCTTCCTTCTTCTGCAATCAATGTAAGATCGAAATTAATTTCAGTTCTTTAATTCGCAAAGATGCCTCATCTTAATTTTTAATTAACTCTAGCGTGCAAAGCAAATGACTGGAAATATATAAGTGCAAAGCAAAAGACCGTTGCTTGTTTAGCTGTCTTCTTGGCAGGAAGTGTCGGCTTTGCAGCAATATCAGAATCGCCTCCGGCATGCATGTTAGAATCTTCTTCCTTAGCATTCTTCTTGGCAGGAGGTTCTTCAATGTGATCATCTTCAGCTATATTGACTGGCTTTTCCTGATTTTTAAAAGATTTAACGTGCAATTAATTCTTAAAATCTACAATGTCTAAATAAAAAGACTGAAAATTTAGTTTTTTTATAAACAAAAAAAATTTGAAAGTCAAAATTATACAAATATTATTGGATTTAACCTTCTTGGAAGCAGCTTTTGAAGGTCCTTTCTGCTGCTTTGTGGTATTTCCCTTACTACTAGTTTCTTTTTCAGGCTCTTTAGCTTGATTGTCCCCCTGATCTTTGATTGTCTAATGGTTAAGGCATGCAGTTAGTGAAAATTTGAAAAAGTCATGAAAGTTTGCTATATATTTAACCTTAGTACTAGCAACTTTTCCCTCATTTTTTCCTTTGGCAGGCTCTTCCTTCTTCTCTTCAGCTGTAGCGCTTTCCTCCCCAGAAGGCTTTGAAGGCTAGTTAATCAATTGATTAATAATAAAAAAGCACAAAAGAATATCAAAATTAGAATTTTTAACAACCACTGGCTTCGTCTTGGCATCCTTCTTCACATTCTTCCCTTTCTTATTCTTTTGAGTCTCTGCAATGGCATCAACAGGTTCCTCCATCTCCTGATTGGCTTGCTGCAAGTTTTTTAGTCAAATTGTGTTAATTCTTTGCTACTATAGATCCCTTGCCTGCTCAGTAGGTTCAATAGCATCCTCAACAAGCTTGGCTAACTTCTGTATTTAAAATTAACATGCAATAAGATTAAGAGCTACTTATTAAAAGTTTATGAAAACCTTTGATCTATTATTTATTTTGGGTTTTTTGGGATTCTCCACCTCAGCTGTGCTTGCTTGAATCTCAACAGCAGCTGCCAAAGCTTTGTGCTCATCCCCCTCAGCTCTCAGGCCTTCTTCCTCACCTTCAGGGTTTCCCGCCTTCTAAATTTTGGGAAATTTTCGTGCAATTAAATTAAATTCTAAAACTGTAAGTCAAAATTCTGAAATTTAAACAAAAAATTAATATGGCTTTCCTTGGCAATCTTCTTGTTCTTTGGCTTATTTTTGTTCTTAGGCTCTTGGGTAGAACGGCTACCAATTGGCTTTGGAACCGCAATCACCATTTCATTTTCATCAGCAGACTGAGTCTCTTCCACATCATCCTCTTCGCCTGCAGACTCTGAAGCCCTCTAAATTCGTGTAAGAACGAATTTCGTGCAGTTAATTCAAGCAAGCAAATAAATCAAAACTCAATTTCCAGCCACTTTTCTTAAATCGAAGTGCATTTAATAGTTAAACTAACATTAAATTTAAACTAATATTAAAGAAAAGTTCTACTCACAGCCTTCTTAGAGGGAGCCTCCTCCTCGTCCTCATCTTTCTCAGACTCTTCCTTCTCATCTTCTTCCTCGTCCTCTTCATCAGAGACCTGAATTAATTAAACAAAATTTCGATTTAGCTTGGATGTGCACAGATAAAGCATTTCCGGTAACGCTCTCACCTCCTCCTTCTCAACCTTCTTGGGTCTTCCGCGACCCTTACCGGAGCCGCCAGCGGCCTTGGCCTTCTTTGGCTTGGCCTCAACCTCGTCCTTCTCGGCCAACTTGATGTTGGCGGCTGCCTTGGCACCTCGGGGGATCCTATCCCTCGTTGGTTCAGCGGGTACCTTGCTTTTGGTGACGCCAGGCTTGCGGCCACGCTTCTTGCCAGGGCTGCTGGCTTCGGCGGCTTCACCGTCGGAGGTTGCCGCCACCGCGGTCTCCTCGTTCTTTTCGGCGCCATCGGCACCCGAAACGTCCTTCTTGGGTCTCGGCATAGTTGCGATGAAGGATTTTTAGACTTTTAAGACGGATTCTCGACCTTTGTCGCGACACTGGAGGTTTGTTTTGCTGGGGTTTCAGTTGACCGGCAAAACTTGTGATGGGCGCGAAAGCAAGCGGTGCTCGTTGCGTTGCATTGTCTCTGTTGCGTTGCTTCGGCTTACTTCCGTTAGAAAATCACAAGCACGCATGCGCAGAACGCCTGTGATTTAATTTTGCTGTTTTCGCCAAAAAGCTTCTTCCGCGTTCCTTTGAGCGAGAACATTTCTTTGAATAAAATCAGAAATTTTTACACAAAACTTGTCAATTTATTTTTAAATTATTTTTGCTGATTTTAGCCATGTTCTAAATACTTTTTATTTTGCATTTTACATTTGTTGTAAGAAGGATTCAGCGCATCTATTACGCTGATTGGCTGTACGAAAACGCGCCAAATTTAATAATTTTCAAACAAATTGACACTTTGACCGCTTACCCCCGCCCCCTCCATTACTCCCCGTGTATAATTATTTTCGTTGCATTGCATTACATTATTTATAAGACTGCAAGTCCTTTAGCATTTTACGCTTGCAAGTTGCAAGTTATTTCGGTCTGACCATTTGAGAACTATTTTTCTCCGTGACTTGCAAAATATGGCTGCCAATGTCAATTTTCTTGACTCGCTCAAGGACAAAGTTGTCATCGTTACAGGTAAAACATAGTGCCGGTGATATTTAATATGATCGAATTTAAAAAAATAATTTTTTCTTATTCTTTCAGGTGCAAGTTCTGGAATTGGAGCACAAACTGCAGTTCACTTCGCAAAACTTGGTAGTCAAGTCGTCATCACAGGTAGAAATGCTGAGAATCTCGAAGCGACCAAGAAAAAATGCATTGAAGCTGGCGCCGAGAGCAACAAAATTATTTTGGTGATTGGAGATGTGACCAAAGCCAGTGACTGCAAGGCCATTGTCCAAAAGGCCATTGACTCTTTTGGACGCCTTGATTGTCTGGTAATTAATATGAAAATAATTTAATTGCTGAAAACTGCGCACATCAAACCCCAAATAATTCAAGAAAATCTAAATTTTTAAAGGTGAACAATGCTGGAATTTTGGTGCCAGGCTCTGTGGAAGTGGCGACTGAAGATGATTACAACAAGCAGATGGATGCAAACGTCAAATCTGTCTTCTTGATGACATCTGAAGCTACTCCCCATTTGATTGCGTCCAAAGGCAATGTTGTCAATGTTTCCAGTGTTTGCGGAATCAGAGCTGTGTGTTTTTTAATTTCTAATGGGGGTTTTTACTGACTTAATAATTTATAGTTCCCCGGAATTTGTGTCTACAACATGAGTAAGGCTGCGGTTGACCAGTTCACAGAAAGTGCAGCCCTGGATTTGGCCAGTAAAGGTGTTCGAGTGAATGCTGTGAACCCTGGAGTTATTGTCACAGAGGTCCACAAACGAGCTGGCATGAACGAAGAGCAATACCAAAAAGTAATGAGACATTAATTTTTTTTACTAATTTAATGTGCTTGTTTGGTTCAAGCTTTTATAAATATTCATAAATTTTAAGAAAAATTTTTTTTTTATATAAAATTAACCTCTATTTTAATTTTTTCAGTACTTGGAGCACAGTAAGACAACCCATGCACTTGGCCGAGTGGGAAATGTGGAAGAAGTTGCTTCTGTGATCACCTTCCTTGCTTCTTCTGGCGCTTCTTACATTACGGGCGCTCATATTCCCGTTGATGGAGGCAGGCATGCCATGTGCCCTCGTTAGACGGGTTAGTTTGTTTGGTACTTTAGCCTCTTTGGGCTTTTCAATTACTAATAATGTAAGCCCAAAAACAAATTAGCAAGCCATTACATTTAATTTAATCACAACATGTATTATAATGAAATGCCATATTTTTTTCTAGTGTGTATTTACACAATATATTTTGTTAGACAAAGACATTGTTGAAAATTGCGAAAGTGCGCAATCAAACTGATAAAATTAAATAGCTGTGATTAACAAAATTCTGTCCTATTTTATGTTATCAATATTAAAGGTTACAAAAACTGATTATAGTCCAACGCATTTTATCTCCAGTTACATGATCCATTTTGATATTTTTTGTTGGTTTACCGTATTATTTACCACTCCAAAACTCCGGGCATGTACTTATCAACCAGACTCTGATAATAGGGCTTGATCGATTTGACATCGGGAACTTTTGCACTCTTGGTGTACAGATCGTATTTACTATAAATAAGCGGTTATTTATATCAGTCTAAAGTCGAATAGAATTTTTTGGTGTACACATACTTGAAAAGTTGAACCCATTTCAGCATCTCCATGTCCTTTTTGTTACAGAGGTGCGTGTAGTCGCCTCCAACGTGCCAGGGGTAGAATGAGTGATATCTGCACAGCAAATTTTGAATTTAAAATTGTATTTATAAAATTTAAAAGTCAACCTAATCATGTAGAGTGCTTCCTCTGGTAGTTTGGACTTATTGTGTTGGAGAACACGGTACATGTATTCGTCATGACCCCACGACATCATTATTTTGTCCAAACCGCAGTTCTCGGAGTACATTCCAATTTTTGTGCTGCAGAATTAATATTTTTTTTCTTCAATTAATTACTTATTTAATTTCCTCTCGATCTTACTTCAACTTTGGATTGTTTCCATCAGGGTTGTCCTTAAAGGTTTCGTGTCTATACACAATACTTTCACCCCAATCGCAACCGACAGGGAAGGTATCACCAACGACAGCCCATTGCGGCTCTTCGTAAAAAGCCATCACCTTTTGATATAATTTTTGTCAATAATTTTTAATTTTATTAGTTCAATAATACTTTGCCAAGATCATGAATCAGACCAGTGAGGTGCAGCCAGTCGAGGTCAGGGTAGTCCCTTCTGAGCTGCTCTGCAGTCTGGTAAGCGTGCACGCTGTTTGGAATATCAACGTCAGGGTCACTCTCGTCAATCAAATTGTCCAGTGTGTCAAGAGTTTCCAAGATCTCTCCTTTGAATGTGTTGAATTTGGTCCACTTTTCGATTTTTGACTTAACAAAATCAACCGTTTGATGGTTGTGCATCAGGGAGTAGGTTTGGAATACGCGTTCCATGTGGACATTGTCAGGCGCAACTGTGTAGTCTCGAAATTTGGACTTCTCTTTAGCCGCAAACTCAATTTCCGGCCTCAGCAGTTCTGACGGGTCAAGAACCGAAACCTTTTGCTACAAAATTAAAATTTTTAATCAAATCTCTTGTATATATATATATTTTAATTTTAATGAAGCAAAATAAATTTTGATTATTTTGAAAAACTTAATTTGTTTTTACCAAGACTCTCATAGCTTGTTGTTGCGTCGACGGAGGAAATGGCACTGTCGCAGAATCCCACTTGTTTTTGTTTTATATCTGTTTTGTTTATTTTTTTATAAGATTAATAGCAGTATTGAAGAAACGTGAGCAAACATCACATGCAATCTAGATTAACCCAGCAAAACGACTCTTAGGGTTATCTATGAGGTCAATGCCTTTGCTATAAATCATTCAAGCAGTCAAGTGCTCTTTGAAATCTGCTGATAAGCTTTGAAAACTCAAAATTTGCGATATTTTTCACAAGAAAAATGTAACGAGCAGTGTACTGAAAAGTTTTCAGGCTTTATTTAGTAGCACAATGGTTTTTATTTGTACTGAAAATAGACATGGTCTATGATTATGAAAAAAAAAATTATCCTAAAATCAGCTCCTCTCTCTGGAATTGCTTCTCGACTTGGAATCTCTGCTGCTGGATGATGATGAACTTGAGGACGAGGACCTCTTGCGACGCCGCTTGTGTTTCTTAACGTCTCTGGATTCTTTGGAAACAGATTCTTGTGAGCGCTTCTTGTGCTTGAACTGGGAGGAAGGGCCGTGTCTTCTGCCCCGCGAAGACGATCTGCAGAAAATAATTAATTGTATAACTTTCCCATTGAACTGTTTGTTAAATAGACATAAATTTGAGATTAATTTTTTTAAAGCTGCTTAAAGGTTTAAAATTAATGAAGAATGGTCACATGCGAAGTTAGCATAAATTAACTTGGCACTCCTCTTAAGATTTCACATAATTTTCTTTGATTAATAATACAAAAAAAAGCAGACCCACCTTTTACGTCTATGGTGCCTTGAGGAACTGTTGTTACGTTTATGGTGGGAATGGCGCCCAGGACTTCTGCTCCTTCGAAATGACTTAGAATTTCCATTGTAGGATGGGCCATCTTTGTGCCGAGAAGGCTCAAATTTATTTCTAGAAAAATATTTTATTATTGTGGGATTTTGGGTTTCAGCAGAAAAACCTACCCTCCAATAATGGGCGCTGGAGGTGGTGTCGAAATGCCTCTGATGGTTGGGGCAGGAGGAGGGGAGAGAGATTTGTCTTGTGGAGAGGGCGATGGAATGGATCTGACATCATCATCCTGTTCAGGAGGCTGCAACTCCAGAGGCAACTGCGGCCCAATGATGACTGGAGCAGTCGGCTTGATGATTTGCCTCTTCTCTAAGGCCAGCTTTGACAAAAAGGCGGCAACTTTCTTCTTTCGCTCCTGCTGCACTTGCTTCTCTTTGTTAACATTGGCCATTTTCTCACGAGCAACTGCCATCAGCTTGGCCCTCAGTCTTTCTTCTGCCAGTTTTTTCGCAGCCTGTCTCCTTTCTTCCTCCTCTTTATTGATTTCTGGCGCTTCCGGGGGCGGACACGGAGGTAACGGGACGTCCGAGACGCTCTGCAAGGCAGTGGCCATGTAAGCAGCTGCAGCTCGGGGACGAGGGGCCTCCAAGTCGAGCACTGATCTTTTCTCCAAAACACCCTCTGGAGCTTGCGCTTTGATTGAAAAGCTAACTGGCACTAAAGCTGAAAACAAAATAAACACCACTTTCAACAAGAAAGTTCTTAAGGAAAATATAAAACTTACGAGCTTTATTTTTGGAATTTTGTTTTGGTTGGAGTTCATCTACAAAATGCTGCGTCCTTTGCTGGTAATAGAGGTGGTATATATGATTGGGGTCCAAAAATGCAAAGCGTGGGTCACCTGGAAATGTTCATTATTTGAATTTTACGTTTCATTAGAATTTGCTGCATTCACCTTTACTACGAACCACAGCTTCAAATTCAGGTCCATTTTTGGCAACGTATGAGGCTATTTTGTCAACAACAACTTGCAACTCGGCGTCGGGCATCACAGGAGTGGGCGCAATAGGTTCTTCTTTGGGGGCGACAGTTTCCACGACCTTGTTCTTGTTCACGTCCTCTACGGGCGGTCGCTTGCCGAGCTCTATAGGCACACCTTTGATTTTGCTCACCAGCATCGAGTAAGCACAGTCTGCACTTGGACGGTACACAACACTTGGAATCGACGGAGCCTAGAAAAGGAAGTGAAAATTTTTAACTCTTTTGTAAAGTTCAGTTTTAAATAAGATTGATTTACTTAACAAAATTCAAACTCGATCTACTAATTTTTTAGGTACACTTAAAAAATAGGAGGAAAAACTTACAGAATCCACTATGGTTGTTCTGGCGAGACTAGGGTGCAGGTAGTGTTCGCCATCCGAGTCATCGTTGCTGGACTCGTCTTTCTTACTGTCGTTCGTGTCCATGACCTTGTAGCGGTTGTTTCTAATGGCCATGAGCACCAATTTGTAGTACGGATGAAGCTCATCATTGAAACTGAGAAAGCAGAACTGGGGGTTGCCTGCTTGCTTCGCCTTCAGGAGGACTTCCATCTGGCCTCCTTGCTGAGCGATGAACTGGGCAGTCTTTTCAATAATAGCATGTTGCTTTTGATTCGGAGGCTGAAAGTAAATAAATTTTGGGTAAAATGAAAAATTATTTCCTTCGGTTATTTTTGAAAATACCAAAACCATGTTGACTGGAATATCGAGCTCTGGTGGCGCCACGAAGGGAGTGTCGTCCTCTTCATCCTCTTTGTTGTTAGCCGGGTTGGAATTTGAGTTTTGAGAGTTGTCGTCGTAACTGTACTGAACTGAGCTGTATTCTTTTTCTTTCAGGGCCATCTGCAGACGTTTCAGTTCTTCCTCTGCAATGGAAAGAAAATTGTAATGTGGTGGCAATAAAGTTTTTAGTTTTAAACTTGACCAACCTCTGAACTGTTCGTCCTGGTCCTCCTTGTGATGCAGGGCCCAGTAGCGTTCTTCGTCGCACTTTGCTTCGACGCGACGTTCCGCCTCGGTCATGATGAGGTCCATGTCTGGTTGCGCCTCGAACGGCCTAAGGTCAGGCAGGGCGGCTCTTCCATCGTATCTGCGAAACAGAACCAACTGTTATAGCAAGCGGAAAGAACTATTGGGAAAAACGCGGGCTGCACAAACAAGAATAAAAATTTGTCTAAAAGCGAAAATCGCGAACGGCTGAAAAGAAGAAGAGGAAGAATTCAAGTCGGCGACTCCGAATCTGCAAAAAGAAACACGGGGCATCTTGAGAGATTTGAGAGAGACACGTTTATGCGTCCGACGAAACTAAATAAAAATTATATATCGCACGGGATTTTAAATTTTTTTTTTCATTTTGTCGAAGAATATAATAAATTTTTTGATAAATAAAGAAATACTCCCTGTGGCAAACCTTTCTTTGCGATGGCCGGCAGTTTTTCTCACCTTTATGAAGAAAGAGCCTTTCAACAGCATCCTCAGTTCGATCGGCCCCGAGTGTCCGTGCTATGATTGAAATTACATTTCGGCGGCAATTCATTCGGCTGGGGGTTTCTCGCCTTTTATGCATGTGTAAGCTTGAAACTTGAACCAATCAAGCCTGTAGGGAGGAAATAACTGGCACGTTAAGACAAACCTACCCCACAACTTTTTTGAATCAATTACACAATAATCATTCAAAACAGTATGTGGAAGAATTATATCCTTCTTTTGAATTAATTACATAAGAAAATTAATTGATATGGAAATTTCCACCCTCCCTCGAGAGATAGATAGTCACACAAATTTGTTTCACTCCGGTCTTTGACACACACGATTATCTTTACAAGAGTCCGGATTTTTTTGTCTCTGCAATAGGCTGATGGAGAGAGGTAGGTGTGAGAAAATATAATAAATTGGAGCAAGTTGAATTAAATTAGAATTTATGATGAGAATCAGTATGATATATACTGGTATAGAAGGTGGCACAACGGACCTGTCTATTTTAAGAGTCTCATCGCCCATCCAGGGGATCAAGTGTTTGCCTTGATCAACGAACAGGGCTTTCTCGTCATCGCGGAAGAGCTTGCAGGAGTAGCCGAACACCAGAAGCTCCTCGTCCTCGCCAACTTTTCCGCTCCGCAAAATGCCAGAGTCCACCCATGGCTGCTCAGCCATTTTCACTTCTTCTCGCTCCGCAACTTGCTTCCCGTCGCCGTCCGACCAAAACACACTACACGGACCTGCTGGCTAGACTGACCCGCAACGCGCTACCAGCAGCGACCTCAGCGGAGTCTTTGCAAAACTCGGGAGAGTTTGCTGATTTTGGCGCTAAAATGCGCGTCAACGTGGTTTGAAGAAATTGAAAATTTTCACAAATTATGTTTAGGAAACTAGAATAAAAAAAGAAAAAAAATACAGATTGTGCTGCGAGATTTTCTTTTCGTATTTTGTGAAAATTCGGCGCAGATTTGCAGAAACACAGAAAATAATATCAATAGATAACACATAACACCGAGCCATGACTTTATTTTGATTAATTTGTTTAATTTAAAATAATGAAATTTAAAAACTTTATTCACGGTTTTCCTGATATTAGCATCTATGAGGGCGATCCAAAGACCTAACCTTGGCTCATAGGCTAATTAACTCGCCAGCCATGCAATTTTTATACCTGATACCAAACTTTACAGTGTTTTTGGATAGCCCTCAAAGTTTATATTATAAAAAATTTCATGAATTAATAAATTTGTTAAGTCATGAAATAACTATCCTGAAATATCGACGAAAACCACAGGAAAGAAGATTAAATAATAATTCAGAGCCAGTAGATTTAGAGTTTTATTATTTTTTGCAAGTTTTAATGAATTTATAACACACAGTGATATTATTTTCAATTTAAAACAATAATAATTACAAAAAAGGAGATAAAAACATTCAATTTAAAATAATAAAAATTACAAAAAATAGGAGAAAAAACAGTCTAATTAGAAAAGGGGAAAAAAATTTAACTTACAATTTACTACTCGAGAAAAAATAACACATAATTGCAAATCAATCATCTACAGTAAATATTATATGTTTTTTATTTTTTTTCTGGGGTAGATAAAAATTATTAAACCACGATTTTTTCCGCTTCTCGATCCTAATAAAAATTAGAAGCAGGTTGATCCTTCCTTTTTAACGACGTGCTGGGTGGTTAAGAGTTTCTTCTTGTAATATGAATAATTATGGAACGCTGTCGCGCCTTCGCACTTACATATGTATGAATATGTTGATCAGACGCTTGCTGTAGCGCAAAAATAATGGACTCGCGGCTTCCTGCTCCAACTTCTCGATAAGCGATCAACTCGGCGCCAAAATAATGGGCCGTGCATAATCTAGGAACAGGTTTTCTGTAGCCCAAGAGCCCTTCAGAAAATATCAGTCAAAAAATTATTTCTCTTATTTTCGGTTTTTCTAACCGTCACTTTTATTACTTGTGCGCATGTTATATGAAAATTCACAGTGCGTATTAATTATGAGAGAGCTAGTTTTGCTCGTAGCCTTGAGCAGGTTCCAAAATAAATCTGTGAAAACGCGGCGCGAAAAATGATATAAGAAAAACCTGTTCACGATCGCGCGGCGCGAAGGAGCTCGTAGAGAGCGACAGTGCCGAGGCCACTTTAGTAATAATCGCGGGCGTGCACTTTGCATGTGCTAATCGCGCGATTCCATTCATTCACTGCCCGTCCCTGCCGAATTCAACTGGTGCTTGGTCCCGTGAGGAGATTTGCATGTTAGGCGACTCTAATATTAACAAAGACTCCAATTGGATTTAATTCGTCGAGTTTCTTACGCAACAAAAAGGTACGAACTGAATATATTGTTTTTATTTCCTTAGTAAATTTGTATTTTTCAAAATGATTATTTTCACAGCAAATTAAATTGAATCGGTTTCAAATATGTTTGTTTAGGAAAAAGATGAATAAATATTTAATTTAATTTACTTCAAATAATATTTTAACTGCGATGATCAATTTTGCAGGCTTTATTAATTCCTCGTTTTAAATGATTATTTTCAATTACAATTTATAAAGTTAATTCTGTACCAAACACACGCCCTTATCTACCAGATCAAAAGAAACTGCATGAAATAATCATAATTTGATTTAATTGTTCCTTTTTCTTTTCGGTGTTCCCTTAAATATTACTTAATTCCAGAACATGGATTTGGAAACGTGTAGTCCAGTAGTGTCGCACTTTAAGTGGCCGGACTACTTGGTTTGCTTCCTGATGCTCCTGGTATCGGCGGCAATTGGCGTCTATTACGGTTTCAAGAGAAAGGAGTCGTCGACCAACGAAATCCTGATGGGTGGTCGAAAGATGGCAACTTTTCCCATGGCAATGTCTTTACTTGCAAGGTGTGTTATTAAAAAGATTAAATTATTTTTTATTTATAACTATAAATTAAAAAATTGATAAATTTAGTTGCTTTCAAAGACTTGTGATATAAATCGCTCACTTAACGAAGAAAGCAGTTTTTTTTAAGGAAACATTTAATTTTTTAAAACTATATTTTTAATTGACAGTATATGATTTTTGTTGTCCTGCGCACAGCTTCATGTCTGCGATAACGCTGCTGGGCAACCCCGCCGAGATGTACAATTACGGCACACAGTTTGTCATGATTGGGGTGGCCTATTTCTTTGCCACGGCAATCGCTGCCTATTTATTCATGCCGGTGTTCCACCGACTCGGTCTCACTTCAGCCTACGAAGTAAGGAGCCCTAATTTACATAAAGCAGTCCTTACATGAATCAAATTAATTTCTATCTGTCACGTACGTACAGTACTTGGAGATGCGGTTCAGCAGGTCTGTCAGACTCTTTGGCTGCATCACGTTCGTCATTCATATGGTAATTTGCCGCAATTTTCAATTTTCCTAATGCCACTTACTAATGAATGGTCTACCAATAAAAATTTAACATGAATTATTATCTTTAAATTCAAAGCAATAATTAAATTGTCGGCTTCCAATTTATTTGACCGCTTATTATGGTGGATAATGAATTGAATTTAGTTTTTTCAAAGCGATTATTGATCAACAAAAATAGATTCTTGAAAAAAAAAAATTAAAATTAAAACACCTTTTAAAAATCCACGCTGAAGGGAGCAAGAGATAATGAAATTGTCTTTTGTTTAATTTGTGATAATGAGAATTTGTTTCAATTTTCAGGTATCTTACATGCCAATAGTTGTTTACGCACCAGCACTGGCACTAAATCAAGGTAAATGAATTGTTGAAATAATCTTTTTAATAAGAAACCAAACCATAAATTTATGGTAATTCAATTTAAATTTAAGATTAATGTGCAAAATTTAATTCCAAATCAAATCATAAATTTTCTGCAAATTAAAAGCCTTAAAGAGTCTAATAAATTTGTATATTGTTTGTCAAATTAACCAACGAATTTTTATAAGATTCAAACCTTATCACAAAATTTTCAAGCGGATTCATGTTGTATCCAAATGTTAACTATCTTTAATAATTATAAATATAGCATAAGTGATATGGAAACAAAATCTCTACTAAAAAACTTTCCAATGCTGATATATATTTATTTTGTATCTCTTCAAAATGCAGTGACCGGAATAGACACATTCGCAGCGGTAACGGTGATTTTCATCGTCTGCATTTTTTACACGTCCATCGTGAGTACCACTTTTCCTTTACATCCACTGGCAAGCGGCCAGACTGTTTCTTTGTTTTTTCCGCTCTCTCGGCGTAAAACGTACACGTTTTGCACATTTGCAGGGTGGAATCAAAGCTGTGATCTGGACCGACACATTTCAAGTGATGATGATGTTCGCTGGTATGGTTGCAGTCGTGATCAGGGGCAATTCCGACGTCGGCGGCTTCGGAGCCGTTTGGAGCGCAACGCAGCGATCCGGAAGGGCCGAGTTTTTTAAGTAACACATTTTATGAAATACAATTTTCGACGTAGAGAGAAAACCGTTTGTATGAATTTTGCCACCAAAATGCACGCGAGTTGGTTTTTAATGGAAGTATTTTGTTTGAAGTCTAGACTGGGACCCAAGAGCGAGGCAAACGTTGTGGAACATGGTAATCGGCGGCACTTTTCTTTGGAGCAGCACTTACTCGGCCAACCAAGCGCAAATTCAACGTTACCTCACTGTGCCGACTGAAAAGCAGGCCATCAAGTATGGAAAACTGATTTCAATTCAATAATTTGATATTCAAATTCTAAAACTCTGCTACATTAATTTATGAAAAGAAATTTTATAATTTTACTGAACCGAATTTTTCATTTTGAAAGATTTAAATCTGCCTTCTGATAACTGCAATTATCAATTTTTATCCCGATTTATCATTAATTTTCAGTTCAAAATTTAGGATTGTTTTTGTAAATAACAAAAAGAATAAACTTAATAAACAGATTTTGCGCAAATTATTATAACTGGAAATCACAATCAACCTGCCAAAACCGCTGTTTTTTAGGCAGTGAAATAAATAATTTATCATAGTTTTAAAAAAAACTCATGACTACGGATAACTTTTTTTGATTTCATAGAAAATATATTCCTTTCAAGAACTTCTAGTTTTTTGTGCATCTTAATCAGTATAAATTAATTTCCATTATTTTCTGTACATTACAAATTTGCATCGCAAAGCTGATTTAACTATATTTTTAATTTTTTTCTTCAGTTTCCATTAATTGGAAAATATTTTTTAAGAAGAGCACTAAAATTTGAATTTGAACTTTTTGAATTCTTACTAATTGGACTATAAAAAAGCAATTTTGGAATATGTCGGTTCCGGTCGTTTTTATCATTTTCAATCTCGGAAACGCGTTCTCTTGTCCATCGTGCCCTTCTCGTCAGGAGCAAGACAAACGTGCGCGCACTTGACTTCTTTTCCATTCACCGGGCAAACTCTCGACTTTTTTCTGTACATGTGCGCCCCATTTTTGTTTCAGCGCACTCTGGATTAATGGTGTTGGCCTAGTTGTCCTGTTGCTGGTTTGTTGCTGGGCGGGCCTCGTCATGTACGTCAAATACGCGGCCTGCGACCCTTTGGCTGCTGGGGTAGGTGAAGTGTTGCCTCTTTTTTCAGCAAAAAAAAAAGAGAGAAAAAAACAAGCCGGATACGAGCCCTTTGCACTCTCAAGCGCGAGGGCTGAAAATTTAATGCGAGGCCGCGGTGCAGAAAATAAAAATCAATTTTCCAACCGCACGACTGAAATTCGCACACATGCTCATTCAGAATTCTGTTTGTTATTTAGCTCGTAAAGGCCTCTGACCAACTGATGCCCTTGTTTGTCATGGACACGATGGCCGACTACCCCGGAGTGCCTGGTTTGTTTGTTGCTGGAATTTTCAGCGGCGCCCTCAGGTTAAAAAAATATTTCAGAATTTTATCCCTGATTTGAAATAATATTTTCTATTAAACTTGCAGCTCTGTTTCCACCGGTCTTTCGGCTCTTTCCGCGATCACTTTGAAAGATTTTATTGGCGGCTGCTTCGGAATTCAGATGGAGGACTCAAAAGCGGCCCGTTTGTCCAAATGGATAAGTGTTGCTTATGGAATGCTCAGTTTGGGGCTTGTTTTTGTCGTCGCGCAACTAGGTGCTGTATTGCAGGTAGAACCACATTGACGATAATGAGAGTTGAAAATCTTGCTTGATTGCAAAAATTCAACAAAAATAATCTAACCAGATTGTAAACAACAAATTTAGTGTAAAATTTAATTTCAATAGCAATTGTTTGGCTTCTATTTTTCTAAAAAAAAAGGAAGAAGCAAATCTCATTTCGATCACTTTTATAGGCAGCCCTGAGTGTTCACGGAATAGTCGGGGGCCCCATATTAGGCGTCTTTTCCTTGGGTGTCTTTGTACCTTGGGTTAATTCAAAGGTTTATACACTTTTTTATATGATTGCAAAAATATTAATTAATGATTTGTTATTTTGAAATATCCAGGGTGCATTTGCAGGTGCAATTACAGGCTTGCTTTTCATGTCATGGATGGGCGGCGGTGCCCAATACGTGACAGCGTTGGGACAAATGCAGTTCCCAATGAAAGAGACCTCGGTGACCGGATGCAATTGCACCATCGCCGACCACCTCCTGAGCAACCAAACCATCCCAGAGTATTGAAAAAACTTGAAACTAAACGAACTAATTTCTCAACTTTGCTCTTCTTTTCTCAGATATCCTGACGTTTTTCCGATATTTGCCGTGTCCTACATGTGGTACGCGATCATCGGGTGGCTAGTGACCGTTGTGGTGGCCATTGTTGTCAGCTTTGCCACCGGATTTTCCATTCCTAAGCACACAGACATCCACCTCCTGTCGCCGGTTTTCGTCCGACTGATGGACTCGCTCAGCCGCGAGTGGCAGACCTCGCTAGGCTGGCCCCACAAGGAGGAAAGAAATGCGGTGAATACTTGGAGAAAATATCAATTCAATTTGTTCTGAAAAGCCTTTTTCATTTCAGAGGAAGCAAACAGAAATGCAACTTCTCAACGCACAGTGAATAGAGAAATTCTCATTTTTTTTTTTTATAAAATTAATTATTAAATAATAAATTTTTAAAGTTAAGATGACCTTCTGGAGTTTTTAATTTTCACTGTAAAAAATTTATTTTTCAATTAATTAAAAATTCAATACTAGAATAACATATCTTAACTTGGATTTATTTTAAATCTGATGTAATTGATTTTTTATAGTATAATTCCTGATAGTGGTAAAAATTTGCAAGGTATATTTTGCTTAAATGTTCCAATGTTTGCTGAAATTGATTTGGTTTCATTATAAAAATACTTTTTATAATTTTTTAGTTAATCTGTTGATATAATCTAAAGACAGTGAAAATGAATGAGTAGAAGACGCTGTTGTGGTAAATAAAAGAAGAAATTTTTATGCCATACTATAAAACTCTAGAAATTCTTTTTTCCTTTTTCCATTGTTGTTCCACACTGATGCACTTTCTGCACATTCGGAGGGGTGCTGAGCATCGCCCGGAAAGAAATTTTATGTATAAAAATTGAAATTTTCCTGCTTTCACGCTTCGGCAAACCGAGTTTTTTTCCAGCACACTTAGCCTGTCATCGTGCGGTGGAATTTTTCGCGCGTTTCTGGTCGTATTATCTTGAAGGAGACACACACACCCGCTTTGTGAGGGATCCACGTGCGAAAAGAGAAAGATGAGCAGGTAGGGTGAGTACGTAGGCTTTTTGTCGAGCACAGATAACAGCCAGGTTGCATAACCCTCGACAACGGCTCGAGGGAGGTTTTATTGTTGTCGGCTGATGATGTAGTCTCTGAGGGGGCGAGAAAAACTTGAGGCCCGCTTTGATAATGAAACTCGCACCACCGGGCTTCGCACCAAAATTTCTTTGCGACGAGAGTGTGAGAAAGATGGAGGTGTCTGAAGCTTCTTTTTTACTTTCACTTTCGGGCCATTTTTATACACCGCAATTCATGAAAGATGAAAGAGAGAATTTTCAAAAGAAAAATAAAACAAAGACCCCTGTACAGTAAAAATTATGTCAAGAAGAAAATTAACAAGGAAACGGCGATGAGATGATTTTGAGACATATTTTTAGAATGATTGAATGCTTCTTTTTTTAAAATCAAGTATTTAATTGAATTTTCCTCCAACAAAAACTATTAAAAAACCTATTTGATGGAAAACTGACTTTCCCCAATCGAAAAAAAACTCCAGAATATTGTGAAATCAATTTTTTTGTTCAAATTGCGATTGTAAAATAAAAATAAATTATAGCGAAACATTTTGAATGATAATTTCTGTTCACCTTTCATATAGTAATTTTTATAAGCCATCTTTTGAGAATCATATTTCATGTCTTTTGCGTCATCTTCAAAACGGCAAAAATCAGAAAAAATTATTTGAATATTTAATTTATACCACAACTTTTACAATAAAAAGCAATTTTTGTGAGAGAAAATTGAATTGTGAAACAAAAAGGCTAGTAATTATTTATTTTAATTTTTAAGATTCTTCAAAAATATACGTGATTTTTTTGAATATTAATTGTTTATTTTAAACGTCTAGTGGTAAACAAACTTGAGAATAAGCACATTGCAAACCGCACGATCGTTCATCCAGTTTATCGTAAACGCCTGTTCGCGTCGGTAATAACAAATTGCCATAAAGTCGAAGCATTTTAATTGTCCCGTAAATCACCTTCCGATGGACACAGAGCGCTCGAGGCGCAGGCCCTGCCCGCAGCCAATCGGCGGCCGCGGCGACTCGCGGCTTCGTTTTCGCCGGCTCAGTCTGCGAGCCGAGGCCTGGAGGCGCGCACGGCCCTCCATCAGCCGCCCCCACTGCCCCCAGTTGGCACGTGCTCTGAACTCATGGCTCTGAAGCGGCTCTTCGGCACTGCCGAACTGCTCCTCGGGGGCGAAAAGTCGGTTCCGGCGGGGGACGTGCTGCCCCCGGAGGCGGCGGAATTTGTGCTCGGCGTGTACGTCGTTTGTGCCCAACAGTGCGAGGACTTTAATTTGGCACTGAAGGAATTCTTCGCGGCCAGGAAGGAGGAAAAATCGTCCCGATTTGAGGTGGTCGTGCTCTCGTTGGAAGAGGACGAGCAGCCCTTCGTGGACAGCGTCCGGGATTTACCATGGCCGGCACTGCCCAGAACAGCTTCGCACAATAAGGTTTGTCAAATGTTACAATATAATATTTAGCAAAGGCGAATTTCATATTAAATTTTATTTTCAATTTTATATTCAATAAGTAAAAAAATATAATTTATAATAATAAAAATAGTTATTAGAGTTTTACAAATAAAATTAATAAACAAAATAAATTATTTTGTACGTATTTTAATTAAATATTATTTAATTTATATTTTAAGCTTGATGAGTAATTTTATTAATAAATAATTTGTATATTAGTGTTTGTTGTTGTTTCATAATTGAAAAGAGTTGTAATAAATTTTTCAACGCCAATAAACATTATATAATTTAAAATAAATACTCTTTGCCTCCAAGTATCATCTTCCAACTCAATCTCATAAAACTCAGTAAATTAAATTGTATTGAATTTTTAAATATGATATGAATAACAAAGCATTTAAAATTTTAATATTAAATTAGACCAATGACCGTTTTCTTCGTCAGTTTAGGCCCAAAAAACAAAAAGCTCTTCTCTTTTGAAAACCCTGTTGCTTCTCGTTGATGAAAATTTCGCTTGTAGGGCTCAAGAATTCCGCAGAGCATTGTATTCACTCATTACTTTTGACGACCAGACGTTTCGCAAAAAGCACGCCAGCAAAAAAAAAACCATTTACTGGAAAGGAACATGAAAGAAAATAAAACAGCGGTCCGTCCTCCAGAGCAAGATAGTTAGCAACGAAAAAACAGGCACACATCCTCGATTATACAAATTTTTCTTTTCATCCTCTTGCGACCGAAGAGGAATTTTTCTCTCTTTACATTGTTCGCAAGCCAGCACAAAGCAGCAAACTGGATTTCAGCGAGTGTGTGTTTTTGTGCGAATTTCTTACGACCGCAGCAACAGGAAATTCTGGTCCTTCTTTAAAACTCAAGGCTCTGCCAATTCTTTATTCCTGTCACTCGCTGTCGACTAATTTATTTAATTTTTATAATATTGAAAAATGGGCTTGCGCGGCGAGTAATGAAATATGAAATTCACGGCTGAGTCGCCGCGAATTAAACTTGGCTCTGCGAGTCGTTCGGTTGTTTGTCGGTGCGCGGTGCATATTTCATGAGCTTGCTCGGCAGCTTGCGCCGTCCAATGATGTATACACATATAAATTTTTTATAGAGGCGAAATTGATCGTGGCACTCGAATTAAAATTCTCGGCGTCGACCGCAAAGCTGCAGGCGCGAGAAAAAGAAGGGCTTTTGAGCGCGGAGATTAAAGTATCATGGCGCGCTTTTAAATAGTTTTGCTCCGTCTGGAAAATCGATACTAGCTGTCTGAGAACTTCCGCCACGTTCTTAATTAAAAAATGTTCCCCTTGGGTAGGAAAAAAGTCAAGTTGTTGTGCGCAGAAATGAATATCTCTTGAGAAATACACAGAGATATTATTTTCTGTTTATGTTATTTTCGTTTGCTTTTCTGAATTTTTGCTAGTTATTGACGTCTGAAAATAACAAAATTGAATGTTTTTATTTCATCAAATTTCATTTCTACTGAAATGATTATAATATACTCTGTTTTCACTAGAAATTTTATTGTTGCGATCCGTTGAGACGGAAAAAATTAACAAAGAAGTTATAAATTAATTATTTGTGGGATTATTTACAATTATATCGACTCCACTTTCATTTAGAAAACAACGCAAAAATTAAAACTTAATTTCGTCAACGGTAGGGTTGGATTAGGGAAAGAGAAAGAAGATATATTATTAATTTGTTTAAATTCATTGTTTAAATAATTAAATAAAAAGATCGACAAGCATCTGTTCAAAAGTTGCAGAATTCAAACAGACCCAATTTAAAATGGTTTTAATTTGGAGAAAAATCGCGCACAAATGGTTGATGTGATTATTTTCTACAAATTGTCAAATTAGCAATAATTTGATAGAATGATCATTAAATGTACTTAAGACATCAAAGTGCTGCTGAGGAAAACACATTTTATAGTCTTTTCGGCTTTCAGATACAAATAGCATTTCATTTTATATTAGGTCCTTTTTTCCTCGCCTCTCCTGGAACAAGATGTTAAATGTGGGCACTTTGGCAAAAGTAATTACTCGCGTCTGGGCGGCGAAATCGTAAAAAATTACGGTTGGGCGCGGCGAAAGTGGAAAAATTTAGGTGCTAAAAGCATTCCTGCGATGACGTAAGATCCATTATTCGCGCGCGTTGCGATGAGCGCCTCCCGTGATATGGATATGTGTAGAGGCACGCGCAAAAGTCACCCACCGGTGCTCTCATTATTCGTGAGTGCCGGCGAGGCAGCAAAAATGAAAGTGCCCCGTTCGAAAGCCGAGACAAAGGGGTGCAAGCAGATTTCCGAGTAAAGCAATCTCCGAAATGCTCCCGTTTCAAAATAAAAAGCAACGTGGAAACGTCCCGTTTTTGTACAAATTTGAATTTGGGTCGACCATAATGATAATTCAAATGACTTAAAAATTTATAGGAAAAATAATTTCTTTTTAACGTACTAACGTAGATTGCTAAAGAATATATTTTCCTATATCGCACTATTAATTTTAAGGCTCTTTTCTGAAACAGTCTGGAATTTGGACAAAGAAAATATATAGCAACAATAAAAATAACTAAAATATGACAAGTAAATGGAATAAACGAAAAAATCCACTGTTTTGTGAATTTTTAGATGAATTTTTGATTACTTCGGATAATTTAATAATTGTAATCAGCGCCTGGATTTTTCCATTAAATTTGAAAAAAAAAATGAATAAGAAGCTTAATTACAGAATATATAAGGGAGCGTTTTAAATACCATGTAATTAGCAGCTAAGTAAGCAAATTAACAACAAACACGTATTCTTTCACCTTCCACTCACAGCAGACAAAAAATAATTAAAATTACTCGGTATATAATTAAAACCCGCTGGGAGCGAGATAAGAGACTGCTCTGCTGCTATTTTTTCCCAGCGGAAGAGCGAGCACAATCAAGAAATAATTATCACGTCTTAATTTAATTAATTTACTGAGATGGAAAAACAGGGGACTCTTTGTTTGAAAAGAGCGCAATCAAAACGCAAGCCGCAATTTCAGCTCTCGGGCTCGATTCGGTTGAATTGCACGTCACAAGGCAGTCGTCTGTTGGTTCGCTGTTGCCTCTGCTCGCGAGTGGATGGATGCCCTTGTTTAAACCTATCTGCCGTGTGCACATGGTTTCGGCTTTATCAAAATAAACAAGCTCGGCTCGGTCTCACCGCACGCCAAGCGGCTCAATCTAATAATTTCTTCCAACACACACACGGCGATATTATTTATTTGTGTGCTGTGTGTTTCATTCATCCTGTCGCTGGTTAAACAAAACGCCGAATCGATTTTTTTTCCGGTTAGCTCGTAAATCTTGGTGGATTTCGGTCGGTCTCGCTGTCTAACAGAGGAATTCGGCTTGTTTCGCTTCCTTAAATTGAATTTCCAGACCAGTGAACTGTGCATTTGAATAAAGAGATGAGACATTTTAGTAGAAAAAGTTTTGTATTCCAAATAGATTGAAAATTGGATTTCTTTCATTGTTTTCCTTAAAAATATTTCTCATTGTGCATGATTTGCTTGGTTCTTAATTTGATGATACAAATTTAATTAAAAATTATTGACCTGTCTTCAAATCCTTTCGTAAAATTTACCTACAAGCTCAAAACATTTGTTGAAGTGTTTCATTTGCAGAAAAAAATTACCGAAATAATATATGATTATAATATTTTGTTGTAAATACATTTAAAATATTAGTTTCATGCAATATTCAACATTGCTTTATCTTGAATGTTAACATATGAGTTCAATCTCATGAAAAATTATGAAAAATTGATTCTATTATTTTGTTCAATTTCCACATCCCCCCCCCCCTTGAACCTTTCCAGGCAAATTTATAATATAACGTATTCTATTCAAAGCAAATTCAAATCGACCCAATTTTGTAAACAAAGCGCCTTGCTTTTATTCAGCAACATTAGAACCCTTGACGAAATTTCCATAAAGTGCACATTTCCTCCTCAACTTCACCCTCAAAATTAATCCAATAAAGCACTCTCGAACAACGACAGAGGAAATTAAGGAGACTGCGGAAAATTCCCCCTGCCATTTCATACCAAGATAATAAGATCGGGCGCAAAACTTTTGGCAAAACTTTCTCCGCTCTTGCCTGCCTCGCAAAAAAATGAGATTGGGTCTGATTTGCTGTAGTAGCGAGTTGTAAAAGATTGTACCTGCTTTTCCGCGTGGAAGTTGCAGCCAACGAGAGAGAGCAGATTTCTTTTTATTGCCGGAAATATTGACCGTTTCGAAAAAATGCGACTTTCCACCCTCGACCCGGCCGTGTCGCCGAATGAGAATTTCACCCTCACCATCTCTGCTAAATCTCTGAGCTGCGGAATAAAGATACGACACGAGCCAATTTTTTTTTTGTATCGAATTTCCATAAAGACAATATGAAGCGACTGCTGCATGAAATTGCCTCCGACGAGGAATTTTCCGTATGTTTTAAACAAACTATGGCGCTTTTATAAAAAAGATGAAGATAAAAACTGTGTTTTTCATTATATTTTATAGTTCTAGTTGAAATGATTCCAAGAAATTTGTGAAGGAAGAAAAAGTAAAATATTTAAATTTGACGAAGTTGCCAATATACAAGATTTCTTCGTTTAGAAAAATTTTCTAAGTTAAAAAAGACGAAAGAAAAAATATTAAAAAAATTTTGAATCAAATTCAAAAATTTCTGAAGAAACTGATTTGATTTTTAATTCTATATTCTTTTCCATTTTGGTTCGAAGCATAAATAATAAATTTTGTTAGGAGCCATTTCGTAATTATAATTATTCAGTTTGACAAGACACTTGGCGGGCCTCCCTTGTCTCGTCCTTTCCCGCCGTGCAAAATTCTAAATTGGCGCACAATGGGGGTTGGTGCAGAGCTGCAGTCGGGAGGAGTATCGATCAGCGTGTGCGTGTGCCAGGGGTGTTTTTCGCCCCTGAAAATCTGTAGTCGCG